CCGGTACATTTCGGTCACGATGATTCCCCAATTCTTTCTTTTGTTTGATGAATTTCTTTTTGATAGCGACTTTTTTGTTCAGGGTCAGACCAGCAAGCACCAGTTACATTGTTGAGCGATGTTGTCTATAACGCAGCTAGTATTTGAGTGTTTTGCTTTGGATGATACCAGATTGCAGTTTTGTTTCCTTTACGAATTTGATAGCGATGACAACTCAATCTCAAATGACGACATTCCTCCTTTTGGACTTGTAAGGTTACTTTCCACTCCTTGAACAGCCATCGATCCCAGCTTGATACCTCCCTAATCGCTCCCGTAAGAAATAGGGGTCGGGGTTTCGGAAGCTGAGTTACACCGGAACCTTAAAAAGACAAGATGATGTAACTTTGGGAAGTCCGCCACTGGAGAATCAACTGGAGAATGCCAGCAATAGTTGTCGCAGGAGCTCATTTTTTCATTCGTTAGCACGGGTGCATTTTATGCGTCGCGTCCAGGCCCTCTCAGGGTTCTAAGGCGGCTTCATCTTGCGCTTTTGGACGCCTTAAACGACAACCATCGTGCTCTGAACTTCCTCGTTACTAACATACGCCAATTTGCCTGAGCTGCAAGGGGCTGAATTTTGCCTAGATCATGGCGGATCCGCTGCACCGGGCAGATGATGAGACTGCCTCACCATCTCCGATCGTCTCTTTCAAAAAGAGACGCCCCCGCCAGAAGGAAAATATAAGAAAAAGACCAGCTTCGCCAGAGAAAACGTCATCGCATAGCGACGGTGATTCTTCTTCGTCGGAGGATATTTCACGCCAGGGACATAGGGTTAAGCGAAGGCAACATAATACCGTCGTGACTGCCGCGTCAACGAGCGAAACCAATTCGAAAGCGAATGCGGAGCTTTTGTCAACAGCCTCCCAGGCCTCGAATCGCAAAGTGCCTCTTCCGGCCACAAACGACGCGACGAAAGCGAGCAATTGGTACGATGAGGATACAAAGCCGAAAATGGGCCCGACTCGGACGGCGCCTACAAACGTTCGCATGACTACGTTCATCGATTTCGCGCCCGATGTGTGCAAAGACTACAAGAAGACGGGGTACTGTGGTTTTGGGCAGAACTGCGTGTTCCTCCACGATCGAGGCGATTATAAGCAAGGCTGGGAGCTTGACCGTGACTGGGAGAAAGTGACTCAGGGAAACAAAAATCTGGGCGGAACCGTGGTGGCGAGCGCCAATCGAAATGCCAAAGCTGAGGATAACGCGGATAGTGATGACGAGGAGGAAGCTATGCTGAAGAACATCCCCTTTGCGTGCATTATTTGCAAAGAGTCATACAAAACGCCGGTCGTCACGAGGTGTGGGCACTACTTCTGCGAGTCGTGTGCGCTGAAGCGGTACAGGAAAGATCCCAACTGCGCGGCATGTGGAGCTGGGACGAATGGGGTTTTCAATACTGCATCGAGATTAAACAAACTCCTCCAGAAGAAGAGGGAACGTATAGAGAGGAAGCGTCAACAAGCTATAGAAAACGGGGAGGAGGTGAGCGAGGAAGATGAGGACGTATGAGTTCGTGGAGATGGAGCCGAGACAGCAAGAAACGGAAGGAAAATGCCTAGGACCATCAGCTCAAAAGGCAAGGCTGCACTGATTGGTTTTCCAGTTTAGAATGGAACTGCGGGAGTTGAATCACAGAGATTCTACAGCGGGCGTTGAGGTCCACACTTGCGGTCGAGATTTAACTATATACCCAAAAATATTTCCTTTTGTACTATAGAATCATGCTTCTGATGGACATGTCCGTCTCATGACCAAAATAGGTATCTGATTAACCACAAGAAGCCTTTCGTTTACATCCATCGGGCTGGTCATGCTCTTGATCATGCTTCTCACAGCTGTGTTTCTGTAGAAGTGCCTCGGGACCCGATTTGGCTATCTGTCATGTGACTGTCTTATCGACCGCTGATTGGATAATAGACTCAGATGCTAGACCCAGACAGGCTAGTCGCTTACCTAATTCTCCCCCAACAAAGCTCACAAGGCGGTCAGCGCGCCCACCTGATTTCATTGGCCAACGTCACCTGGCAGTTCGTTTTGGCTGGCCCGACCGCTTTCCTCGTCGGCTGCTGGGGCTTGCCGGATGCTGAAAAAGCATCTTGGGGGACGTGAGGTCTTCGCTCAGCTTCGTTCCTATCATGGTCGTATAGCCCTACATCGGTCCTTTGGTCCATGGTGGGGTAAACTATTGGATACCTACTTCGCTCTTTGAATATCCGCCGCGTCTACTCCCATCGTCCATAGCTGGGTCAGGCTGAACTGCGATGCTGGACCCTATCCCTCCACCGCCGGAATGGCTGCAGAAGCTCGTCCAGCCGTTCGCCGAATATGTCTCTCTCCCGTCTCTGCAGTACCATATTCATGAAGTCCTCGGTGCCTTTGTCCTCTACCAGTTCGTGCAGTCCGTCGTCTCGCCGGCGCTCTCCACTTGGCTATTTCCAAAGATCTACCCGAACTTCCCTAGACGAACAAGGCTGAACTGGGATGTCCATGTTGTCTCGCTAGTTCAGAGTACGCTGATCAATACTCTTGCTATTTGGGTGATGTTTGCGGATAAGGAACGGAGCACGATGAATGCCGGCGAGAGGGTGTACGGGTATTCTGGCGCTTGTGCATTGATCCAAGCTCTAGCTACAGGTTATTTCCTGTGGGATCTGATTGTTAGCACGGTGCATGTGAACGTCTTTGGTATTGGTATGCTGTTTCATGCTGTCAGTGCATTGTGGGTGTTTAGCTTGGGTTTCGTAAGTGCTGTTCCGTGGTCCTTACTTGCACGGAGTCCGCGTTACTCAGCTAACATTTTGATCAGAGGCCCTTTGTAAATTTTTACAGTCCGGTGTTTATCCTTTACGAACTTTCTAGCCCATTTTTGAATTTCCACTGGTTTTTCGACAAAGTCAACATGACTGGCAGTCGAGCCCAATGGTATAATGGGATGCTTCTTCTTGCGGTATTCTTCTCGTGCCGCCTCGTGTGGGGAACCTATCAGTCCGTCAAAGTGTTTCTGGATATTTTCAACGCGCTTGGCCAGACCCGCGCCTCGTCGGCTCTTCGTGCGCCGTTCGACGTGCACACGATGATTTTCCAGGCTCGAAACAGAACCCTCTGCATTGAGGAGTCGTGCATCAAAGCCAACGATGAAATATCCAAGTTTGCCAAACACCAGGAAAACGGCATACCCCTCTGGTTGGTGCTGACATACCTCGGCAGTAACCTGGTCCTAAACTCGTTGAATTTCTATTGGTTCTCGAAGATGATCAACGCGGTGATGAAGAGATTCAAAGCCACCGCTGATGATAAGGCAAAGGAAAACTTGGCTCCGCAAATTGTGGAGAAAGAAGCGCAAGCAATGGTTCTTGAAGCCGCTGCTGTGCTTGAAGAAGAAGAAAGCCTTTTCATCACTGGCGGCATGAAGGAAAATGAGTTTGAGAACAAGAAGCAGGATGTTTCCGCGTCCTCCGGGGCTCAGATTAAGTCCCCTGGTACTCGGAGAAGGAAGGCGTAATGGGGCTCTAGTTTTCGGGGTTTCGAACACGGGCGTTTACTTTGGTACTCGCGTTCATCAGGTAGTGTGGGGTTTTATCTATATATGGCAGCTTCTTGAGTGCATGTACGGGCTTACGAGATTTATGCTATGCCTGTATCGGGAGAAGATTTCTACTGTCAACCGCTGGCTTCTGCATGATTAATTGGATGGGTAGCTTGAGAGTATTTTGTTGTTGTTGGACGAGCTGAATTTGCAATGATCATTTTGGACAGGAGTTTTGCAGAGTTTAGCTGACCTATATTGATACTGAGCTTGTTGCATTTGCTAACGAAATCCATCTCACTCCATTGCTGCTTCATGATTCTGGAGTACAGCGGTACAAAGTGGAGGGGGGATCCTAAAGCATAAAGGCTACGGAGTACTTTGAATATAATATTAATAAATTTCTTGTAGAGCTCAACCCATGGAGATATCATACACGATAATAACATGATAACGAGAAACCGATCTCCACTTCATAAGAACTCCCTTCCTTTTAAAAAGCCATCCCCATCACAACAATGAAATAAAAAGAACGAAAACAGAAATGAGGATACCCGTTCAGCGCCAGGTCTCAAAAAGTTCCTCAGCGCCCAGGTTGAGGCGGCCTAGCAAGCATATATCTCACCGCTTCTTTAGCAACAGGCGTATCCCACGCACTATTCAACCCTCCTCTCCTGAACTCCGGCGCATCACTATCCGCACGGCCTGCTCTCGTAGACTCGCCCAGGATAGTCTCTAGGTCACGCTTCTGACTCAAGATCCATCGTCTAATAAAGTTCACAGGATCCTGACTGAGATTGGTGTAGAAGGAGTGTTTGGCCTTGGAATGGTGCAGCGCTTGAACTACGAGAGCGAGCTGATCGTCCAGACTGGAGACTCGTCGGAGCATGTTGGGGAACTCTGGTGAGGCGCTTACTTGGAGCATTTTGTTACGGAGAGGGTCGTCGACGGCGATGCGGATGTCGTAGATGGCTGGGACCGGGTTGGTGTGGAAGTCTTTGTCGACGCGGATTGTGAAAGGGATTTTGATGGGCGGAAGGGGGTTGCAATGGGGCCCAATAAGCTCAGGAATGGCGGGAAAATAGATTTTGTCTCGTCCAAAAATCTGGTGAGATTGGGGAAGTTAGTACAGTCCTTGACCAAGAAAACGCACGGAGGAAAAGCTTCGGTTCATTCATACCGCTCTTAGACGTTCATTGCACGCTACAGCTTGCCGCTCTTCGCTTTCCTGAAGTCCTGCGGTCTTTATATACTCCCATAATCCGATGATGATCCCAGCACGGGATTCTTCTTCCACATCAAGAATAGACGCTAATTCATTGCTTAAGAGGAAACGCTCCGGGTTTTCGTCCCTTGTCATAGTGATGGTGCCGTTGATGTTAACTTCAGCGGCCCGCGAGAACTCCAAAGAGTCAAAATCAGCGGCAGGCGGGAGAGTCGCAGCGTTGGGAGGTAGAGCAGGTTTAGTCCAGATTATTGTGGCTAAATCAGCCACCCCCGGGGCAGACGGCTTGTCAAATTCAACCGAGATAGCTTTAAAAAAGTGCGCCAGTCTCTTTCTTGTGGACGGTGTGGAAGGCTTCGCGTCCTCCTTTTTCTGTGATTTGCTATCCTCTTCCATTGCATCCGCGTCTTTCTCTTTTTCGGGGAGATCTTTATCGACTTCATCTCCCTCGTCTGGCGCCGTGGGATCCGTGGCATCGTCAAGAAGCCGTCCTTCAATTTTCACTTTGTACCGTCCGGCACCTATTCTCGGCGGAACTTCAGGATTCTGCTCCAGCTGCTGCCATGGTTGTTGCTCCACAGTATTCGATATCCATAGTCTCAATGTTCGATATCGTCTTGTATTCCGATTCACGGAATCCTGAAGGTCCAGTCTCTTCTTCATAATGGTAGAATCCAGTCTTTTTTCGACCTCTTGCATGCGTTTGTACTGCTGGACTGCTTCGCCAATCACAGCATCCTCAATATTATCAGGTAGGGTCTTATCAGTCGGCTTGCGACTGCGCCGAACGGCTGGATCTGGGTGAGCGGGTACATGTCGTTGCTGTGCAGGGAGAACTTGTTGAGGATTTGGGATGTTATGCGCTTGAACCGGCATCGGCATCATTCCTACCCGCAACGGCTAATGTTAGCACTGAATATACCACAGCACCCTTTTCGGATGGATATTATAGCGGGATTCGCAATTATCTTCGTGCACTCAGGGTCACAAACCAGGCACTGGCACGCCTCTTCGCGGAGTAGTTGGCTGTCGATGCTGAACCGGTTGTGGATAACCACGGTAGTTGGGCTGCATTGGGGCGTGCATCTTGGCGACGGCCGTGGGCAACGGCAATTGGGCGAGAGGATGCCTAGCAACCTGCGGTGAACTTGTGAAAGGGATGTGGATGCGCTGCGAAAGAATCGGCCTGTCGTCGTGGAACCAGCGCCCAGCTCACTAGACACGCCTTTGAGTTTCGCTCGTTCTGAGCCGCGAGACCGACCAGGCCGCGCTAGACTAGATCGGGAATAAAGAGCATGTGACCTGCGTCTATCGCCTGGCGCTTAATTAGATTATGTAACAGGATGCTTGGCAGAAGAGATATCTATGGTATGAGTACATATTCAAAAGCCAAGTCTACTCGAGCAAGGACGCCTGGTTTGTGTATAGGACATCAACCACGCCGCTGAGCTTATCGATGGTCTCCAGCGCAGCATCGTAACCCCGGTCCCGCTCCGTCTCATCAAATACAATCAGACAGCCTGCTCCTTGATCCAACACGCCGATGATCACTTTATCAAGGATCATCTGAGAAAGTTTTCTCTCAACCTGCTGCGTATCCAACCCAACCATCTTTGCGATATGATCAATCTCCACTCTGCTGAAAGGCTCAATGACCTTGATGAGGTTTTGTTCCAACATCGCATCGTAAAGCCGGCGGAGGTGATTTCGAATGAAGACGTCACTGCCCAATTCATATCGGTAGTCTGATAGTGCTCGTTCGTACTCTTCAAGCGATCGGTTCGAGTGTGCTTTTGCAACCGCCTTCATGGCTTCCAGACTGGTTCCTGCGTACCGAATGGCTTGCTTCGAGGCCAAGAGGGAGTTCACATCGTTCACGGAATTCAACATGATTTTGCAAAGAAGCATATACTGGAGGGCTGAGGTCGCCTTTCCTCCCTCCTCCAAGGAATGGTAGCCCTCCAGAGCCTCAATGAAGTAGGAGTAAGCAGTATTGAAATCCTTATCTTCCGCATGAAGCATGCCACTCTGCATATCCAGACCAGCCTGCAATAATGGTGGCGTATAAACAGACGCTGCCGAGGTTCTGGCAGATGTCAAAGCAGCTCGAGCTTTCGGCTGGTTTCCAAGAGCATGGTATACGCGCGACTCTAGCAGCTGGACTTCCACCAAGACAAGCTTATCGTCGAGCCGTTTGAGTTCGCGAAGAAGCGAGTTAATCAAGGTGAGAGCATCGTAGTAGGACTGTTTTTGCATGTATATCGTGACGAGTCTCGTTTCAAGATTCTGGCGTAGGAAAGACCGTCGTTCTGACACTGCCCAGTCTATACATGATTTAATGACGGCGATCTGAACATCGAGAGTATCCGGGATAGCGGCGAAGAAATCAAGAAGCTGTCGGACTGCGTAGAGTTAGAACATAAGCTTGGATTTCCAATCTAAGGATAATATATGTACCAAGTTTGGCAGATTTAGCCTTCGCAAATGAGGAGAAAGATGATCGGCTGGTTTTGAGGAGCTCAGCGAGTTCATTGGGTCTCTTTTGATCGCGATACAATTCGCCTAGTCCAATGAGCGCGGCTTCATAATCTCTAGATGCTGCCTCTGTTGATCCTGGGCCTGACGAAAGGATCTTCTGGTAGATAGCCTCTGCCTTTGGCGAATCTGTTTTCGACAAAGCAGTCGCCTCCTTCAGCAGGCTGCTAGTCTCTGAATCGTTTGGAGCCATGCCAGGCCTGTATCTTGCTCGACGATATCAAAAGAGGGTATGCTGTGAATTGAATGGGGGCGTATAAAGGAGAGGAATGAGGGTGGCTTCAGAGTGTTTATGCTGATGGTTGGCGCCAGGCTGCTGGCAAGTGAGCTCTGATGTTGCTTGCAGTCCACTGGGTCCGGAAGCTTCGCCGGAACAACATTGCGCCGGGCTTATCGACGATAGCTCTCAGCAACTAAAATAATTTCTGCCGCTACGAGGAACGGAAGTTCGGAGAGACAAGCACGATGGTAAGCCAACTCTGTCGAAATAAGAGACGTACTAGAATGCTGACTGTGTTATAGAAAATAAAAGCTCTTTCACGGTCTGCTGCCTCGCAGCAGGCTCCTGGAACAGGCGCTGTAAGGCTTGCTCGAAACCTCGATCCAGCACAACACCCGTTTGAACGAGCACGAGAATACACAAGAGCCCTCAATGCCACCAAGCTAGAGCGAATGTTTGCCGCTCCGTTTATTGCGCAACTTGGGAGTGGTCATGTCGATGGAGTGTACTGTTTGGCAAAAGACCCAAATTCGCTCGAACGTTTTGCCAGCGGGAGCGGCGACGGTGTCGTAAAAGTGTGGGATTTGGCAAACCGTGAAGAGGTCTGGCAAGCCCAGGCGCACGAAAACATTGTCAAAGGAATGTGCTGGACCTCTGACAGAAAGTTACTATCATGCGCTGCTGATAGAACCATCAAGCTTTTCGATCCTTACAACTCGGCATCGGACAGCCCCCCGTTAGCGACATATCTTGGGCAAGGGGCTTTTACGAGCGTGTCTCACCATGGATCTCACACTTCGTTTGCTGCCTCATCGTCGGTGATATCCATTTATGATCTCTCTCGGCCTTCTTCCACGCCGTCACAAACACTTCACTGGCCCACAAGTACTGATACCATCACGTCCGTTGCTTTTAACCGGACAGAAACTTCAATACTAGCATCAACGGCTACCGATCGCTCCCTTATCATGTATGACCTGCGAACTTCGTCCCCGCTTACTAAAGTCATCCTTACACTGGCCTCAAATGCGATAGCGTGGAATCCTATGGAGGCGTTCAATTTTGCCGTGGCCAACGAAGATCATAATGCGTATATCTTTGATATGCGTAAAATGGATCGTGCCTTGAACGTTCTCAAAGACCATGTGGCAGCAGTAATGGATGTGGAGTTTAGTCCAACCGGCGAAGAACTTGTCACGGCGTCCTATGACCGCACTGTTCGACTGTGGAATCGTGCGCGTGGTCATTCAAGGGATATATACCATACTAAACGAATGCAAAGGTAAGAATCCAATTGCTAGTGCACTCCATTACTAAGACCGTCCAACTGATGCGTTTAACCACAGGGTCTTTTCGGCTAAATTTACCCCCGACAACAAATACGTGCTCTCAGGGTCAGACGACGGTAATGTTCGCCTTTGGCGTGCAGAAGCGTCTTCCCGAAGTGGAATCAAAAGCGCCCGTGAACGCCAGAAACTTCAATATGACGAAGCCCTTAAAACTAGATATTCACATATGCCCGAGATACGGCGCATCAAACGTCATAGACGCCTCCCCAAAGCGGTGAAGAAGGCTGGTGAGATCAAAAATGAGGAAGTCAATGCCATTAAGAGACGAGAAGAGAATGTCAGAAAAAATAGCAAAAAGGGCTCATTGCCTGCGCGAGGCAGTGAGCGGGAGAAGATGGTTCTTGCGAGGGAAAAATGATGCATAAGCCTAATGAAAACCCTGACGATACCCTTGATATCCAGTTGCCGAAAACTGTGACCCAGAATCATTTATTTCCTCGTTGAGCATTGAACTTCTGGAAAAATGAATTTTCATTGACTATTTAACCAATGTCTCCACAGAGATGAGAATTTACAAAGGTATATTATCTTTGATATGCCCACAACTCAATGCCCAACACCTTGCCCATGGTCTATAAAACACACCCACACGTTCTTAGACTGGTACTTCAGTCGGCCTTGGAGCGCTTCGAGGAATCTTTTTCTACCGCATAACCCGCTTTCTGCACGGCTCTATCAATTCCGCTAACATATCTGGCGAGTTTCTGGATGGAGGCTGGTAGTACGGTATACCAACTCACAAGGGACGCAAACGCGGGCATCCTGATTAAACCACCATTCCCGCTGTCGACTACGGAAACGATTTCTCGAGCAACTTGGACAGGCTGCAGGATGGGTGCAAAAAAGTTATTTGGGGTTTCAACCCGTTCAAATAATTGCGTCGCTATTTGTCCTGTCTCCACCAAAATTGTTTTCACTTTCTCGCCTGCGTCAGACAGGCGCAGTTCTGCTTCCAAGGTCCTGTGGGCAGCAGTGATGGCTGCTTTTGTAGCTGTGTAATCCGACAGACCAGCTGCAGTGAGGTAACCGAGGACGGAGCTAACAGTGACTATCGTTCCACCACTGGGAGATGCCAGCATTCCAGGGAGGAAGATTTGCAGGGTATGGAAAAAGGAACTTAGGTTTGCGTGTATAGTTTTCTGTATGGCGCTGTGGGGGAGGTCGAGGAGAGGAAGGCCATTTATGGATGCAGCCACGCAATTGATCAAAATAGTTGGAGTCCCGAGCTTCCCGCAAATCAGTTAGATTGCACATCACAAAGAATTTACGGATTTCTAGCCTGCAGGGCCATCAAATACAACGTAGAGCCTAGTGTGACATTGGAGTTGGGATGAAAGGGGGAATGTGAATAGAAAATGGAATTGATTAACGGACGTACATCATGTTCTATCCTTCTAGCCACCTCTTCCACCTGGCTTCTATCACCAACATCACACTGATAATACTCCACACTGGGCATTTCCTCAAACCCAAGGCCCTGCTTCTCATCCGGTCGTTTGACATCCAGCACTGCAACACTCACCCCGCGCATTCCATACATCTGCGCAATCAGCAACCCAACCCCGCTGGCTCCACCGGTAACCACGACCACTTCCTCTTCCAAGTCCACATCACGAGGGAGTCCGTATGCAATCCGCTTGTTTATCACTGCGACGGCGTACAGGAGGGTGAGGACGGTCGCGTACGCGGTTGCGATGATAAACGACGGGTGGGAGAAGGGCGTCACCTGCGCGCGAAGGCACAGTGGTATGAGCCAGGCAATGAATGGGTGGAGGAAGGTTCTATTGAGGGCGCGGAGGACGAGGTCAAGGGTGAAATATTGGAGCCAGTGGCTTGCGTTTGAGCGGGAGGTAGGGGAGGCTTGGGATACGGCCATGCTGACGGATTTGTGAACATCCGGCGAGAGACGAAGGGGTCTGGAAAGAAAAGCATCAAGGAGTAGAAACGAGGGTGTGAACGGCCGACATGCGGGTTTATCAATGGGGGAGTGTTGCAAAGCTGGACCGGAGGAAGTGCTCGCTGAGAAGCTTTGCGATACGCGATTTCGTGAGGTCTGAGACCGCTTGTGATTCAGAAACGGCCCAAACCCTCCCGCCAGCTGGTTTTGAGTCTCACTCACGTCAAGTTCACGGAGGTGCCTTATTCAGATGTCGGTATCTGACTTCTCTAGGCAGAATGGTCGTTTCAGATCTTCGAGGAACTACGGTTTGTCGTGCTTTTTCTCTCTACGGCTACGGAGTAACTAGTTTGATACATACTCAGACTGTCAATACTACCGGTCACTTGGTGCCAGTAATGGATCGTAAATAAATGAACGCTTTCAAGCTATCCAACACTGCAAGTCTCAGCTAGGTACGGAATACTTCCTCTCCTTTCATTGCCTGCTATGAATTGGAACGAATAGACTAAAATTGTGATGAAAATCAACAAACACCCCTATGCTCAAGTCCGTACAACCTTTGATGTCCAAAGATTGCCAACTAAGCATAAGATTGACTTGACTGTAGCTCTAGGGTTTCTCAATCTCTGAACATTATTGCCCCAGAAGCTGCATGGACATTGAACCGGCAAATCGCCTTGTAACAGGTTCCAACCCAGGATCCAAAGGGAAACAGAGCAAGGCAAACAACATCAATTCGACCAGGTACCGCCCATATGTAGCGCAAAGTCCTTCGGGACCTCCCAACCATGTATGTTGCATGCCCTGATATACGCCTCCACTGCTTCGCGAACTCCATAACTACCGACTGTACCTTTCTTCTCGCTCTGACCCGCCTGCAGCCGCGCCGGCCATGGATCCGTGCTTGACATCGCTAAGCGGACTTGAAGCAGTACGCTCTCGATGCTAGACACAGCAGACCAGCCAGAATTGGTGAGCAGCTCCATGCACAGAGCTCCACCGGCTGTAACGTGGCCGCCTCCCCCTTGGTGGAAGCCCAAGAATCGAGGGCGAATGACACGGACGAAGGGCGGAGACATGGGATAATCCTTAGGAAATCGGAGTTCGAGAACAATGCTCGTCAAACCCGCTTTCTTCAAGTCAGCGGCAAGGGGAAGCTCAGGTTCAAAGGAGTGGAGTTCGACTATCCACTGGTAAATTGTGTTGATGAATTCGGGTTCGATATACCATCCGAGCTCGTGTAAAGGAGTTTTTTCTTGGATTTGAAGGGCGGTTCTGAGGTCTCTTTGCAGTGCCTTGGTCGCCCCTGATGTGGCATATGAAGGCGGTCCGAGCAGAGGTAACGTCGACCCAACCAGCTTTCCCGGAACGAAGTCGGACTTTGGAGCTTCAGGAACCGCAGATGGACCACGAACGGGCGCTTTTCCCTTTACATCCCCTCTAACCAGTATGAGTATGTCTTCCGTGTCAGTTTCCTCACTTATCCAGCCATCCCCAGAGGCGCCATTTTTCTTGCTATATTCTTCTGTCCGCGGCCTTTTGGTCACTGCTTTGATTTTTGTTGCTATATTGGCTATCCCAGAGCCAGGCCGAGGGAGAGAGGCTTCAAGGCACAAGCGCCGCTGTCGACTGAACACAGTCATAGGAATTTGGATCGGCTTTCCGTTGGGCCCCAGGGCCGTATATTTTGGGTCTTGTCGGTAATACGAGTCCAGACGCTTTTCGTTCATGGGGGAATAATATGGTAGATTTTTTTTGGTGCTAACGAAAAGATATCTCGTTTGGATCCAATCCAATTGTTTGACCACCAAATGGGGCGTAGTGCTCACAAAGCGCTTAGGAGCATTGACAACTTCGTTTAATGAAATAGCGTTTGATATCTGTAGTTCGCTTTGCGCCCAAACCCCAAATGTACTATTACGCATGTAGGTCATGGATGTATGGAATTCAGGACTCAGGTAAACGCCATCGCCGAATGCACGGCCATGTAGTACGTCCTTGTAATGCAGCCCTTCTCGTAATATGCCGTGCCAATTTTGCAGCGGGCTTCCATGCCAAGTAAAAAGTGTAGGATATTGGGAAGACTCGCTCGAACTGGCCACAGACTTAAGAAAGCGCTGTTCTTTGTCAGGTGCTCCTTGTGCAAACCGAAATTGCGTATATTCATCCATACCGCTTACCCGGTTTTGAAGAGGATTGTTTTGCTCAGACGTTGACGCCGGAGAGGAAGCGGTGTCTTGATCATCCTGAATGATACATGACCGGTTAGATGCCACAATCCAGCGCAACACATCAAGAGCTGATTTGGAAATTCTGTCAGTCCAGCTACTAAGACTTGGTTGGGAAGTGGAAGGAAAATTGGATAGATAGGCCTTCATTTCGGCCACTGACGGTAGTGTGTTGAGGAGTAAGGGAATCGTCACGTTGCGATATCCATCACTCAGTTCATCAAAATTTTTATCATAGACCACGAAGCGGGCTGCTTTGTAGCCAGGTTGCCACTTAACATTGTCCAAGGATTCAGCCGGGACTGGGATAGGGGCACCGAGTTTGACTCGCGGCCATAGAGATGCGTCGCTCACTCTACAGTGGAGCTGTATTTTCGCTCCTTGATATTCTGTGATCACGATCCAATCCCCGGCTCGAAGACATCGGGCCAACTCCTTGGGAAAAAGCAATTCTCTGGCCGCAAGGTCTAACTTGGTATGCAGCTGCTTGGAGTCGGGAATCTTGATAGAGGAGTCCAACTTAATCCCTATGGAGGGTTTCATCTCCGAATGGGCACTGATTAGGTTAAAGGGAACAAGAAACCCCAGTCCAACAGGGAAATCAGGCAAACGATGGCTTTTTGCGCTGCAGTATGTGAAGCTGATGAGGAGGTCCACGACACTAGGTTGGGACAGAATCTCCCACTCCAAACTAGGGCCAAATCCCAGGGCTATGTATTGATAGAGACACAAGTGTTTCGAGCAAACGTATGGCTTCAGCGCTTCAAAGGAATTGTCGGTCTTGCAATGGCACACAAGGCAAAACTCTGTACATCTCACAAAATGCCGAAGCGCAAATTGCATCGCGAGGAGAGGGAACGACAAGTCCTTTCCATTGCTTTCAAGGATGTGGTCTCCTGTTACGAATCGCATTAAGGCGGTCGCGACAGAGGGCTTCCCCTTCGTCTGTCGAGTACCTTGGGTCTCCAGGGTGAACATTTCCGAGAGGCTTCCCTTGAATATCGTTGAAAAACCGTTCAGCTCCATCCCATGAAAAGCCATATAAGAGTCTATAGCGTAGAATCTTCACGAAACGCTCGTTCATCAAGGAATTCAAGGGCTTGCTGATAAAAGATCGAATGACACTCCTGGGTCTCGGCTTGACATCTTTGTTTTGAAGTTCGCCCAGTGTCGTAGTCTCAAAACCCCTATGATGTTCAGCAAGCGCAGCAAGCGCGCTGTCCAACGTCGGTTTATAAGAATCACACAAGTCGACAAGTATCTCCACGGACGTTTTTCCGAGAGTAGCATCTCCTTCCATTATTTCGTCGAGGGGCCTGTATCTTCCAACGTAGCGAACCAGACAAAGCAGGTATTGCTGCCCATTTACCCTCCAGGCTTGCATAGCCTCCTCCGATATTCCCAGCCGCCCAATGCGACAAGAAATACAAACTATGGGATTCATCTCATTACCCAGGTATCCCACCCTAAAGCCGGCTAGTTTTGCTGTCTGGAGCTCCGATGCGAGTTTGCGTATCAAAATTTCAATACCATCATTTCTCAACCCCTCATTGGAGGAATTCATGTTGGATTCGGCGAGGAATGCAGAGCTAGGAGACCAATCACCAGTAAAATCCTCGATATCGTCCTCCATATCACAGTTGTTTTCTCCGTCATCGGCAGACTCGTTACTAGATTCTTCTAGACCGAGTGGTCCGGCGTTACGGAGGGCAGCCGACAGGCGCGACAGCACATCCGCAACCCGTAACCCCCCGAGACGCGTTTGAACCTTTTCCAAGCATCTCGAAATGGCATAGGGAACGTCATCCGATGTTGTAAACAAAAGATATTTGTGCTCATTAGGATAGTCCGAGAGATCTGGGAAGAATTGCTTAGCAACTCTATGGCGTTAGGCTCGAAAGGAAAGCAACGCTCACCAGATACTAATAGTTGAATATCAATGGGCATCGCCTGCTCTGCATCAGGTTTGAAGCTGCACGAAATGGAGCCGTCATCTTCTCCAGGCTTGATATTAACAATACCAGCATACTCCCTTGAAGAAGTTTCCTGCTGTAGGTCTCGGATGAAGTCCCGTCTCGGCATACTAGAAACCTGAACCAAAAGGGTATCTCGAACACATTCACGCTCAACAGCAATCGAAATGATGACCAGCTGTTCGTTTGTAGGAAGAACAAGGATGGATGATCAGAGTATTTGGCAGCGAGAAAGCCAGGGCAGAGAATTGAAGTCAGAAGCCTTTGTGTTCCTATTGAAAGGGCGCATTCACCAGCGGATGTTGCCGTTCGTGTTGGGAATAACGCGTCAATCTCGCCGGCGATGATGGCAGATGGCACGAAGCAGCAGGCAGCGTCCAGCAAAAGGGCCCCTCATCTAATCAGTGGATGGGCTCTAACAAGGCCCGGATAGCCATGGACCATTTCTGAGCTTGGACAAAAGGCTGCGGGAGGACCGGCGAACAGACTGCAGCCCAGAGCTGGTTGCAAGCCGCTGCCTTGCCGGCATGTTGCTCAAGCCATTGGATGCGGGCTGTCACAACAGAGCACATCCCTCCAAGGATCATGATACTGTGAATGAACAAGCAAACAAACACTTGCAGAACGCATGGCTGTTGAACAGGGAGCATCAGGCGATTCCGCTGTAGTCCGGAGACGGGCGTTCGGATGGTTCGAGATCGTCATTTTTAATATTGAATTTTGAGTCTTGGGAACTCGAGCTAGTTTTACACAACCAACAACTGACGCCGCATAACTCCAATCCCACAGCCAGCTCATGTCTATTTGCGTTGCAACCCTGGAGCAGCGGCGTTTGCAGTGACTCGCGGTGGTGCCGGTCAGAACGTCATCTCCCAATGGCCCAGACGGTTAGACTTGCGGACAGGTCCGTTGGAGCCGCTGATGAGCCGAGAAGCTCCAGTTCTCAATTAGACCCTTCGTTGCGCCATTTCGCTGACCCTGCCTTTGACCCGGTCGAATTCCTGAATAATTCCTTGCCCCCGCTGGCGCGGCCCGCTGATACTACCCGGGATCCTCGCGCGATTCCGATTACTGACCTTTCGTCTCAGACCCAATCTCTACTTTCGCAATTAAGCGCCCAAAATGCGAGACTATCGAATACCTTGACACAACTTACAGACGAGATCCTACGAAGCGGAGGTCGATTGGCGTACGAGGTGGAAGTGCTGCGGGGGGAGACGGTAGGATTGTCGGATACGTTGACGGATGTCTTACATGGCGATATTCAAAAATTCGTCCCTGAGGGCATATCTGAGCGGCTTAGTGCCGAGGCCCAGGAGGGGCAAGGACCTGAAGAGCCATCTACCAATGTAACGACGCAGCCTGGGAGGACGGAGACAGATCCTGACTATATTCGAGACTTGAGAACGCTCAATCAAGTCAGATCTAAACTTGAAGATGTGATCCACACATTCGGGGAAGCAATGGAATGGCCACTACCTCCATCCGAAGTGTCCCTCGCGTCCTCATTTATCTCTGTGTCCGCTCCTGAACCCGGCCCTGAAAGCCATAGTCGTGAGGAGAAAGGACGTGAAGTGGCAAACAACTTAAAGAACGAAGTGATAGAGCTCCTCGACAGCAACGGCGGAGGCGAAGCCGGACTCGAGGCCGCTAATCGACGCGTTGAATCTTTGCGCCAGTTGGCCTCCGTGTGGAAAGGCACGATAGAGGAGAAGGCTCGACTCAAATTTGTTGATAGCTTAGCGAAACTGGTGGAAGAACGCCGAAAACTGCTTGATAGCCAGTCTAGGGCGCGAGATAGTAGAAATGCCCGGCAAAGAGCAGACTCGCCCGCAGGACTGGGTAGGCAGTCCTCGGATTTCAATAGGGGAGCCAACCCGGATAGCGGTGGTATGGGCCTGTTCCGGAATTTGCAACGTTTACGGGATGAGATATACCTTGATTAGATCCACGCCTGGGAACTTTTGCTGTTTATATTTACATGCAGCATCAAAAGCATGATACCACGTCTGTCGAGAATTGAAACCCAAGATCAATGAATATGTGATTGAAGATTACTATCTGCGCTCTTGCGTTCCTCTGCTTGTCTCAACATAGAACGATGGAAAAGAATCCGAAGCTCTATCTGAACCTATACGATCTCGATTAACTGTAAAACAGCCATTTGGAATAATTCTAGTAAAGCCAATACGCCATATACATATAAGACAAATACCCGTCCTAAGGAGTCATCACGCCCAGTAAATGCTCACACGCTTTTTCGTTTATACTCATCCTTGTACTCTTAAGGTCTCCCTGATAATGCCCAAGATCTCGTGAACAGCTTCTCTCGACAATCTCTCCTCTCGATCTTCAATGACACTATCGAGGAGTGCCAGTGCTCCGTAATCTGCATCTAGCCCGTCGTCCATCTCCGCTTCATCTCCCTCGTTCCCCCCACTACCGGGAACTTCGCCATTTACTGTCTCGTCCTGCATCACCGTATCTTCTCCGGCTGCAGCCTCATTGTCACCATCATGTTGGGCGTTTGTGTCTAGGCCAATCCCGAGGTTGATGATCGTTAACACCTCTGCTTTGGTGAGGTTGAACGGCTTCAGCTTCGTTATTATTGCGCGTAGAGCGACATCAAGGTCTGTGGGTTCAGCGGCGGACAACGCTGTTCTTTGCTGCTCCGTTGCATCTTGCGCGCCTGGTTTTGGGTGGAAACTGGGGTATTTCAGGAGGTGTGGTGAAAGACGGGTGACATAGTTATGGAACTGGAAAGAAAACAATCGTAGCATGTTAGCGGTCATCTGAAGATATTCTAGCGTTGGAAGGGAAGAAACTGGTGCGCATGGCAAAGCTCTCTTGATGAAGACCTCGGCCGCAACCCCAACTTTGCGTCTTCTCTCAAAATCGTTGATCAAGATAGGCAAAGACTTCAAGACTAACCTCCTTGACAACAGTATTATGATCTCGTAAGTCGGGGTGAGGTGTGAAATTCCGTGCGTTGGGCGGGGGTTGCGGCGATCGACGCGGAGGGTTCAGTGTGAAGTGCGCCAGAACTTCAACATTGCTGAGTATTGCTGATTGGGGATCAAGTATCTACAGAACGGGAAGTCTGGGTTAGCCTTGGTTGTAACAGTCAATTGTTTGCGCTGCGGCGGCATCTCACCTTCATGTCGATTGGTTTGCCAGGAATTGAAGTCCGCACAGCGAAAAGTTTCCTAACTGAAAGCCGTGGGAAAGCACCTTTGTAGCCACTTTGAATTTGTATGGGAGGAACCTTTCAAGTTACATGCAAATAATAGGGATTCTTCATCAAAGAGTCTATGTATTAATATAATTGACCTTTTTGATTTCAAAGCTGCAGGACTATCAAACAAATACCTCGCCCGGGCGCCTCCATACCCTGAACATAAGCAAAATCAGACAAAACAATTTCCAGATACACCGAGTAGAAAACCAACATCAACTATGGAAAAAGCATGATATCATACAAGAATAAGGAAAGGGAGACTGGAACTCCTACGCCTTGCTCTTCTTCTTCTTCTTTTTCTCGCTCTTCGACTCTCCGGCTTCTTCGTCTTCGTCTCGCTTCCGTTTTTTCCCTGCATCCTTTTCATCTGATTTTGCGGCTTTCTTTGCTTCCTTTTTGGCTTTCTTGAGATCTTTTTTGCTTACAGACGATGGGTTGCCATCCTCGTCGAAGTTGATTTCGCCTCGTTCCAATTTCTTTAGGTACCTCTTAACGCTGAGTCCAGCCTTTTCAGCAAGTGCCTCAGTTTTAACATCATCAGTAGCTTCGGGCTTGATGCTTTTTTCTCCCTTCTTCTTGGACTTCTTGGGCTTCTCATCTTCATTCTCGGACTCTGCCGAGTCTTCTGGCTCAGATTCGGCATCTTTCATTTCCTCGTCCTTGATTTCCTGTATTAACTTCTTCTCTTTTTTCGACTTCTTGCTGATTTTTTCCGTTGCCGCAGGCTCATCCCCAACCAAGCCATCAGCATCAGGATTGTGCTTCCTAGCCTCTTTAATGTCCCATTTCTTAGGTTGGTCAACTGGGATGCCGTTTGGAGCAATGGCGACGCCTCTCGGCTTCAACGGCTTGCCCTCCATAGCAGCCAATTTCTTTTCCAGGTAGTATCTTGATTCCATGCCTAGAGCCGCTCTCTCTTCTTCAGTTGGCTCATTGCCATCAGCATCCGCCTCCCAGTCGGCGAGAGCATCCACGCGGAGACCAAGAGCAGCCTTGGCGGCCAAAACACGAGCCATTTTACCCTTGTTCTTGCCGGTGGCTTGTCCAATAAGTGAAGCATGGTAAATGAGACCATACTTCGGAGTATCGTGTTTTGTTTTCAATGCGCGGAAGAGGGCCTTCTCAGCCCCAAGAATTTGGATTGTACTTGCAGGGCTCTTTGACAAGTTCATCAAGCTTCCGGCATGAGCGATAAGTCTTGCACCGACCAATTCACCCACCAAAGAGGTGAGATTAGGAGCGATGGCCGCCATACGCGCAGACAGGTAGCTTGCTAGCTGTTGACGGTAATCCGCGAAGCCGACCACTTGCTCTGCCAAGGACTGAATGTTTTCCAGATCTTCATTGCTAATATCAGTACCCATAGACCGGTTGGCGGCGGCCTTCACTGCGCCTTCGATTTCTTCGGGGAGGATATCAGACAAGTCAGCCGAATCGGAATTTGAACGCAAGCCCATCTTCAGTACGACTTTGGCGTATGCCATGTTGTCGTTCAAAATCTTCGCCATTTCCGGGAAATGCCATCCATACCATTCCTTCACTCTCATGGCGTAGGTGTTCAATTCCTTGTCAAGGTCGTCCAGTAGCGCGATTGCCTGAACAATCATAGTATCGATCTTATCCGGCGAGAATTTAAGTTTGTATCTTGCAAGGGAGTGAGAGAGACCTAGAGACATGGTGGAGATGTCGTTGGGGAGAAGGCCGGGAATCAACGTCGGAAGGTGGGTTCTGATAGCTCTGTAGAGATCGGCTGTGGTAGAATCGGCAATTGCCTGGATGGAAAGCCCGGGAAGTTTTCCAATTGCATTTCCTATTGAACGAGAAGGCAATGTAAATATTCGGATCGCATTGCAGAGGAGACTCCCGACTGCACAAAGACATACCGAGCTTTGGATCTGCAACGGCTAGGGAGACTTTCTTCTCATCCTTGATGGACTCGAGAAGACTTGCCAATCGCGGTGTAACCTTGCCTTCGACAACAGAAGCGACTTCCTCGAGAGCTGTCGTTGCGCTATCGAATTTCTGGAAGTTCTTCAACTTCATGCTGCAACGTTTGTTAGCGGATGAGCTCGGGCTGGAAAATACTGGACGAAGAAGCTCGACTCACAGATTTGAGACACCCTCTGCAGTCTGAGTTTCCTTCTCAAGATCGTCTCGCTTGAGAAGCTTCTTGTCCTTTGCTTTGAGGAGTGCATAACCAGCACTGGTTTCGGTCAGGATGAAGAGCGTCATCGTTGCGGCTCGAGGAAGGTGGAGGGACGCCGCTTCCGCTTTCGATCAAGGCCCAGGATAGGAAGGCACCTCGTTTCGGTCTAAAGTTGCGTGTTGCGCCTGCCGGATGTAAAACGTGCTTTCTTTCCCTCGTTTTGTTGCTCGCACCTTCCTATTTTTTTTTTTCTTTTCGTTTGAAATTTTGGAAATTTGGGCTGGATTATGTAATTGTGCCCTGGGCAAAGGGAGCTCTCCGTGACAATACAATACGTTAGTCTTACGTATGTTGATTGGGTGCGCAGACGTCCATGTTAACTTACATAAGCGACAGCTCCATGGCCCTTCTGGGCAACTTGAACTACAAGAGCAGCAGAAGCGAATGGCCTGAGGAGGAATTATGCGGATCGAACGGTTATTCCAACACTGACAGCAATTCCGAAGCTCAGTATTCCCGCCATGGAGGGTCTTTGGTTTAATGTGGATGGAGGGTAAGTAACCCCCTAAAACTCCTTGGTGGTTGGATGTCCTTACACAGCCGCATAGTTACGTCGAAGGCATCGTTCGGGGATATCGCAACAACCTTCTTAACGCGCAGAGCTATGGAAATTTGACGCAGTGCGATACAGTAGATGGTATGTGCTATCCCGCCGGAATATACCATTCAGACCGCAATATACTTAGTTTGATCGCTTTCAGATGTAAGGCTCCAACTTGGCCCTGCCTATGGCGACTTCCTCGCTTCCCTTCCCCCCAACCCATCAACATCGTCGTTAGCCGGAAAGACGACAGAAAAACTCGTTGCTGAATTTCGCTACCTACAAGCCCAAGCAACCGGCTCAACCGCCAAATTCATGGAGTATCTCACCTACGGGTATATGATCGATAATCTTGCGCTCCTCATTACGGGTACCTTACATGAGCGGGATACACGGGAATTACTCGAAAGATGTCATCCTCTGGGGTGGTTTGAAACAATGCCTGTTCTTTGCGTGGCAACCAATCTAGAAGAATTGTATAACTCCGTGCTCGTCGAAACACCCCTTGCCCCGTACTTCAAGGGAAGCTTAAGCCACCAGGACCTGGACGAGCTGAATATCGAAATTGTGAGAAATATGTTGTATAAAAACTATTTGGAGGATTTCCACCGATTTGTGAATACTGAGCCGGATCTCAAAGATTCCCCCACTTCGGAGGTCATGACGGAAATATTAGAATTCGAAGCCGATCGTCGTGCTATTAACATTACACTTAACTCGTTTGGGACAGAGCTTTCGAAAGCGGAGAGGAAGAAACTATACCCTGAGTTCGGAAAACTGTACCCGGAGGGATCGTATATGCTCTCACGGGCAGAAGACATTGAGGGTGTTGCTCTTGCTGTCAGTGGGGTTGGTGATTACAAAGCATTTTTCGATGCGGTGGGATTAAACCAAGCCGGGGGCGGAAGTATTGGAAACATGGCTGGTGGTTCAGGAGCTGATGGCAAGAGCTTGGAAGACCTATTTTACCAGAAGGAAATGGAGTTGTCGAAGCTCGTATTCACTCGGCAATTTACTCCGGCGGTGATATATGCTTGGATAAAGCTACGAGAACAGGTTTGTTTTACTCACTGCTGTAATCGATTTGGTACAAGGCATGTTTGCTAACCTGCAGTTACAGGAGATTCGAAATATCACATGGATCGCGGAGTGTATCGCTCAGAACCAAAAGGAGAGGATAGGCAACTATATCAGCGTTTTTTGAGTGTTCTGCGGACATGCTACTAATATACGAGCCGCAATGACGAGTTCTGATACATATTATTTTGGTTTCAACTATCTTCGTCCATGGATTTTATTTCCGGAGTTATGACTGTTGCTTATCGAGTACCCTATCGTTTTAGTTAGAGTGTAGCATCTTGATATCTGATGGTTGGGAATTTGAAGTTTCGATCTCGCCCTTGTCAGAAGGTGCTACTGAGATGGTGGCAGCTGCTTTTGCACTCAAACTTAGTAGAATTGCAGGCTTCACGCAAATTTATCATTAGGATGCACTGGCATGGAAATTGTTGCTTGGGTAAAAACCCGTGTCAAACATTGACGCAAGAGGATAAATCTATGTACAGGATAAAAACAGGAATATTGACAAATGAATCGTGAACACAACATCCTTCCCTGCATTAGGGAACTTGAATTTAGCTAAACCTCTCTAGCCACCAACAAACACAGCCTGAGACCCAACAACAAGACTGTCCCTCATGGACTCTCACTCCTCAATATGCCTATATCCTTACAAACATTCTAAATGGTGTGACCAGCCAAGGGAAAAAGAAAAAATGCAGGTTTATGATTTTAAGTGAGTATGTATGCAAAATGACTGTAAGTGATAAAGCACAAAAGTAGGGATAGCAAATATGGAAAATGTCGTAGCGCAAAAAGGGGGGAACAGGATACAAATCTGACCGCTTCCATCCAGCACTTGGTGGTGCATTGGTCTCTCCTTTCTCTTCCCAACAACGCATCAGCAAAAGGGTGCCTCTCCTCTTCTATTATGTATCAAGCTGTGGAAGAATAATCACCGGCGGTATTCAAAAACAAAAGCAGGGAAAAAAGGACGTAGTGATAATAATCAGATATTTTTGTTTGAAATGAGAAACATCAGCACTGGCTGTCGGATCTGCCACCATCTACCCAGTCCCATAGTCTCAAAATTAAACCATGACTGGGAGATCAGGAAAAAAACATAAGTGAAAAAGATTTGTCGCGTTTCCATCAACTTATTAGATCTCTATTTTGTTGTAGGCGGACTTGGAAGATCCGCACATTGTCTCGTGGATTTGCCCCAAAAGTCTTCAGCGGCATCTATCCGTTAGTCGTACTGAAAAAGTACACTGATACTCTCCCCATGATGCACACGGCGGATGGCCTGCAGTTGCAAGTTAGTTCATGAAAGAAGGCTTCGATTGCGGGTAGTTAAGTTATTATACCTCTGCGAACACATGGCCAACTTCCAAGACCTCCAACTTTGGGCATCGTTTTAGGTGTTCATCTTGATCAACCGTATTCGTAACGATGACTTTGTCAAGAGCACTGGCGTTGATGCGGTCAATCGCATCGCCACTGAGGATCCCGTGAGTGACGAGCGCATATACCGTCGCTGCGCCTTCCTTTTTCAGCAACTTGGCAGCACGCGTGATGGTATTTGAGGTGTCGGCGAGATCATCGACCAGAATACATGTACGATCCTTCACATCGCCAACCAGCATCATGGTAGCGTTTTGCCTGTCTGTTATTTTTGTCGGACGACGTTCCTTTGTAGAAACTGCGGTTAGTCTGATCACCCGATGGCCAGACAAGTCGAGACGGTGTTTACCTTGTGAATCAATGCAAACTCCATGCCCATCGAGTCGGCGATCGCGGTAGCTCGTTTTGCGCCGCCAGCGTCGGGGCTAACAATTATGCAGCTCTTGTAGTTGGGGATGTTTTCTTGAATATATTTCTTGAGAAGGGGTCGACCGTAGAGATTGTCGACTGGTATATCAAAAAAACCTTGATATTGAGGATCGTGCAAATCCATGGTAATGATATGGTCCGCTCCAGCGCAAGTTAAGAGATCAGCCACAAGCGTACCGGCCTGAGCGACCCATTGCCGGTACCCCGGACGTGGCTGGAAGGTGCTCATTTTCGATGAGTTCGATGCTATGCTTGCGGAATCATCCTGCGAAGCTGTTCCGTTAACAGGAGCTGAAGTTGGACCATTCCTGGTCGCTGCTTCAAACCGAACGGAGTCTAGTGTGTCACTGCGCTTGGGAACGCCATTGACGTAATGCGAGATCCGCGCTTTTTGTGGGCTCGAGTTATTAGAGCTATCTCGAGCTTCAGCCTGAGCGAATGCAAGGCCTTTATGTAGGCCGTCAATACCGTTTGCGAGACCGAGGCTGTCCATCTTTCCGGGATGCGGGGTCGGCGGGGTGCTCTCGAAGGTGTAAGAAAGCTGGGAATCCGTCCGGTTGAGCGATGACTTGACTAGCGGAGCGCCGGTTTTGTTGTATGGGATGTCGCTCTGACGGGAATAAGGAAATAGGGGCAGTACGGCGGTGACCCGTTTGGCTGAAGCCGTTTTGCAAGCCGAAATAGTGATCAAAAGCTCCATGAGGTGATCGTTCACCTTTCCTCCGCCGGACTGGATGATGTACACATCCTTACCCCGGACTGACTCATATATTTCCACCCGGGTCTCTCCAACAGAGAACTTCGATAAGAGGATGTTTGCCGGAGGGATGCCGAGCTGGTCGCAGATTGTCTTGTTCAAGTGCGGGTGGGCAGTGCCCCCAAGCACAACGATATTTCGAACCATATCGAATGGCTCAGCAGAGACCGAGGACGGCAGTTTGAAGCGTTGACGAGGAAGCTAGAGGCGTTGAGGCAGGTGGGTGACAATTCTGTACCAAGGGAAAAAGTGGTGATGCAATTGGAAGATTTGCCGACAGAAGCGAGGAGAAAACGATCAACGGAAGGCCGAGTCAGAAGATCAGATTCAAAGCATCAAAGCTCCCATCATCGTTGTGCAAGACGAGAGAGGGAGGAATTCAAAGGTGGAGGGGTCATCTTGAGAGCAAGTCTGCAATGGATGGTGGGTTGCCATGGGACAAAAAGCCCAAAAAAGCGAAAAAGAGATTTAGAAATAGAGTTGGCGGCTTGGTTTGGGTGGGATTTCGGGCAAATCATGCAAGTCAAGCGGCTTTTTCTGTAGTTCCGAAAGCTCGTCACGGGACCCGGTGACTGGCTGGATTATTGTTGTTGCGGGCCGAAGCAGCTGGCGCTAGGCCGGGCCAGGCATAGCGCGATGCTCAGCGGAAAGCGACGAGCTAAAGGAGGCAGTTGACGGCGCAGCGGATCAAGGATTCCCTGTGATTGTCAGACAGCACAGCAAGCAAACTGGAGAACAAAGAAAGTGTGATGCTGGCGCTGCTGCTGGTGACACCAAATCAAACCTGCTGCATGCTCCCTCTCCATGGTACCCGGATGTCCATGAAGGAACACGGTGATGGTAGTGGTGCAAAGATTCCGATATCCATTCTTCAATAATGGTAGTAATAGTACATGTGCTCTAGTATTCACCAAAAACATGATCATGAGAACGCAGAAACCGAACGCCTGCAATGCTCATAACTGTCATCTGGATGGAGGAAATAGAAAGAACGCATCCCGCTAGTCTCCTGTGTCCACTTCCCTATAAACAGTTAGCTTCTGGCTCCAATATCGCTCAACGGGAAAGGACAATGCAGCGGATGTAGGCTCACAAATCAAGTTGTACTCCATTACTAACACCATAGTCCTCAAGGCTGAGTTGATCCTTGAACGGCCTCTCGCCCTGCCGCTTAAGCAAAATCTCGTGGGGTTCCCGGCCTATTCGTGCAGCTACTTGAGCCTTGAATAACCCTGTCGGAAGCAATGTATTAGCGACAAGCGGATCGATAGAAAGGGGAAAAGGAAGCAAGGCAGCCTTACGGATTGGGTCGGACGCAAGACACGGAATAGCTGCTTTGGTGCCCAGACGGTCATTAACATAAACCACAATCATCGGTTCACTGGGTGCTGCAGGTTTCTTCTCTTTCTTCTCCTTGGGTTTGCGGTCCTTCCGTTCGGAATCGTCTCTGCTCCGGGCTCTATTTCCTCGTAATTCGTCATCCCGATGCCTACCCCGATCTCCTTCGCGCTCGTGACGTTTTCTATTCCCTCCTTGATTAGGATCCTGGTCCTGATTCCTGAAAGGCGACCGCGGACGGTCTCTTTCTCTATACCCCCGCTCTAGTCCTCTGTCGTGTTGTGGCATTGAGAGGTCCTCATCGCGGCGAGGTTTTTCTTTCCAGCGGAATCCACCTATCCTTTTCCGCCCGCTATCCCTATCCCTATCCCTATCCCTGTTTTTGCCACCATCATCATACCTGCGTCGAGGCGAACGACTTCGACTTCGACTCCTTCTCCTTTCCCTTCGATGGGGGGAAGGAGAGCGATCGGTCGAACGAGGCATCGCGGAGGAAGGCGGCGGGGCAGGCTCCAACGCAGAGAATTATATAAGACAGTAGGTCACGTCGATGAAGAAAGGCTTGAATACGACGTCAGGCCGCCAACCCTCCAAGCACAGGTTCGTTGGGCAGATTGTGGGGGAGATACGCCAACAGAACGTCGGAGAGCGTGTGGAGGGGATGAGAGCACGCACGTGTGCCCGATCTGAATGACCGTTTGGTGCAACGCGCTGGAAAACTAAAATTCCGGGAGAGCAAATCACCGCTCTGCGATCAGGATATCGGTGGCTCGCATGACGATCTGGCCTTGAATTTCGCCTGAAGAAAGTCCATCTAATAATGAAGCCTCACGATCGAAACAAGGAGCTCTTGAAAAGAACGGCACGTGATCTGGATGCTGCACCAGAAACAGAGTTTAATATTGAGGGCTAATTCAAGCTCGACATTGAGAGCTTGCTGAATTGAACTTGAGGACTGGCTCCCAGGCTTTGACTTGTGCTTGGCTTCTCCCCTATCCGCATTGTTGTCCCAGCGAGGGGCGTAAGCTGCTGTGTCTATCCATGCCTTCCCGTCTCTTAACCCAGCGACCCTCTCTGACAACCATTCAGTTTACGGTCTCCAACGCACCCTCACGAGAATCTCTCACCTCGAAGCTTCTCTTTTACATCGAGATCCTCCTGCGAATTTTCATATTTGGGGCCGTATTGTTGATCGACGCCGCAAAGCTTCGTGGCTGGGTATTTCAGCGCGATGGAATCATACCATGGAGTGATGTCTGGTCCAGCCAAATTGGTGTCCTCGCATGCCACATTGCAGACCGCCATATATGGCAGGTGATTGCACCCATCAGTGCTATACTCCTCTATCTTATGGCTAGGAGAGGTTATACTGGTACGTAGGAAACAATTGACATATATATCAATCTACAGCTCGTTTTTGAAGCTAACAAGTTTCCATAAGAGGAGTCCCTTCTTGTCATTCGCGGTCTGGGAGTTCAAACGTCTACCTCTTCAGCTACCTATCTTATGGGCGCTACAACGCGATTTATTCCCACTGCACAAATACAGGATATCGTTATCCACGAGGCCTTCAAAGGATTTGAAGTGCGGTTCTACTTGGCGATCATTGTGGAAGCCGAAGCGGAGGTGGTAGTTGTATTTCCGGTATGAGCACTAGGGATGTCTCATCGGAAGCCCTGCTGACTGGTGGCAGAACCTGTTACCCCGACGTAAAACCTTGGAAGAAGTTTGGAAGGGGGCCCGAAAATGCCTCTATGAACCCGGCCCTTGACGGCGTAAGTCAATTGGACGCATAGATGGAACGGCTTCAAGCTGCAAACGCTTGTCGATTCTTACGGTCCAAGGAAGAGTAGCCGCAAAGATCAATTCAAGCGGCATCCTCAACATCCGCGGAATCCCCTTTCTTGGAGCTCTTCTTGGCGGTCCTCTTCCCTTTGGCTACCCATCTTGCGTTTGTCTCCTCCACGGTATCGTTCCTCCGCCTCTGCATTAATCGTACGTAGTTGCCGCTTGCTTTCCCGTCATTACCGCCGTAGAACATTTTCTGACTGCGATTAAGTTTATCTAGCGTAGGATTCCTGAATCCTCCACTAGCGACCGAACTGCTGTCGCCTTGACCGACAGCAAGATCCAGCAAGCTTGCGGCCATGACTTCGTCAATCTTGCGCTGTCTCCAAACTGACCATATGCTGTCGACTACTCCGCCTTGGCCGAACTTTCCATCTCCCCTTCCTGAATTCGCGGTCCGTGGGTCCCCCGCGTACACCCAATCCAGGCCGTCCTCGTTTTCATCCCCATTTTTTGGGAAAACACAATCCCATAAAACCAGTGGCGCATCAGATGCAATGTCATACGTTGGTCGTCGAGGGTTTGTGCTTACATCTAGTAGTTGGGAAACTATAGATGGCGGCTCGAGACCTTGTCCGATCAGAAACAAGACGGCGACCATATGCCGGACTTGATGCCATAAGAACGCAGATCCGTGAACGCTGAAATAGTACACTTTCAGAGCTGGATCCTGGACATCGCTAGAGTCACGCAATTCTCGATCAACATTTTCATATTGTTGAAATCCTTGCTGGGCTAAAAACGCGGGTGGTAGGTTCTTAGCATCTAGAACTTGAATGTCTGCATGGGATATTTTCCGAACGAAATTCGTTATTTGTTTGCTAGCGTCCACTTTGCAAAAGTTTCTAAAGTCGTGGGAACCGATGTAGCGTTTGGCTCCTTCCCGCATTGCGTCTATATCTAGCCAGCCTTCCCTCATCTTGGACCCTGGTGTGTCGCCGGGGCGTTTAACGAAACCCAGCGGCCCCGGTGTCGGGCAAAACGCTGGTTGGGTGAAAAAATATCGATATCGTCGTTCGCGGCATGAGAATCTGGCGTCAAAATCCGGAGGAGGGCGAGGGCACCACGCTAGGATACGGATATCTTCGGGGAGAACCCCATTTAGCATTTGTATATATGGAAGTTCGTCGGCGACATCGTCCCATTTTTCCTCCACTTCAAGCTCAGAGACATCAATGCCCAGTCCGCCAAAGGGGCTTTCGACGTCTTTGCTAATGAGTTTAGGAGTAACGGAGGTAGAAGTATCTGGAGTAGCGACCGGCTCAACAGTTTTCTTCGGGCGTGAACTTCGCACCCTAACCCCAACAACCTGCCCAAAAGCACTGACCCCGCGGTCTGTTCTTCCACATTTGGAGTAATCACATCCTTCCCAGGAGATTGAATATGGGCGCGATAGCGACCTACTTCCACTCTCGTCGACATTCTCTGAGTTCTCCACGATATGAGGGAAAATTAAACGAGCTTTTCGTAAAGCTTTCCAAAGCTCCTCTTCGATCGTCGGCAACGGTGTGATATTTCCATTCGCGTGTTCGTAGCCATTATATCGCTGGCCCAGGTAGGCAAACTTCAATGCGATGAAGCGGGTATGATACTTTGACGGGTCGATATCTCGAGGTGGTCTTGCTGCGCGCGAGGACGCTCGCGATGGGTTAAACGGGCCTGGCGGGTAGGACTCAACGGGGTTGATCAGTGGTGATGTAGGAGGGAGGTCGTTCCTGGGTCTGCTCCGGCCGCGGGGCTGGGTTTCGGCGGAAGAACTGAGCTGCTGTTCCAACTCTGTGATTCGGGCGACGAGACGGGCGGTGTCCCATGACGAGTAGTCGGTCTGGAGGCCCGCTGGGGAAGGGCTGGCTTTCGCGGAGGACATTGCTGTTGACGAAAAACGGTATCTGCGGGAACTCCAGGGACTAGACAAAGTAGATGCGGAATATGCTGTGATTCTGGTATTAATCGTCGCCCATCTCAAGGCATGAAGCTTCCCAGAAGAAGGTCTCATCCCCAGTCAGTTGAGGCACTCAATCACCCCAGCACTTCATTCTCGCTGGACCTTGCCGTCTCGCTGCCCAAAATCTCTGGAGTCAGCGCTGGTAATTTCGATACAGGTGGAAATCACCCGGGCCAATCGCAGTCCTGCTGGGGCTCAAGCGCTAGTACCAGCAATACCAGTGTCACGTGTAAAGTCACATATAAAAACGTCTTTTTTGTGATGCGTTTTGTAAAGTTTTATTTTCTTCTTTCTCTGGGGATTTATTCCCCCTGGAGTGAGAACAGAAGAAGAATTGGAGGTTGACGCCAAATCTGGCTATGCATGAAGGAGGCCTCTACTGGCACTCGTCATTCCACATGTCGACATTGAAATGTGTGCGGTTAGCCAGACGACAAGTACCTGTTGTTCCTTTTTATATCTGAACTGGATCTTGAGGCAGGGGGTGAAATCGTTTCTGCTGATACCCATTGGTGTTGGTCCAATCTGTTATTGCATTGTGGTGCTCTTCTCTTGGTGTGCTTTTTCCCGGCATCTTCTATGAAAGACAGGATGTGTTCGCTCCGGAGGGGCTGCGCGTTTACCAAATCACCGAGAAAGATCACCTGTGCGGCAAACCCTCATGGTGAGGAACCTTGAGGCCTGGTTTTTCTGTTCTTCTTTTCACTTTGTTGTTCTCATCCTCTGGCAGCATTGTTCAACATCCTTCTGCTAGAGTCTCTTAGGTTGACAATCACCCATCATTTCATCCATCAAACGGTGACTTGATACTCTCCTTTATTTCTTTTGACGCGTTCTCCGTTGGCAATTTCTCGAAATTAGCTCTCAAAGCACGAGCTGAGAGTCGTCAAGATGATCAGCGAGCCCGAGCTTGTGGATGGCACTGGTGTGCTATCCTTCTCTATCAAAACGGAGTTCATCGTCAAGGTGAATGTCGTCGCAGCATTTGGCCAGCGGGCGCCAAATCTTTCGTATCTCCAGAAGATGCGCGCCGTTCACGAGGAAATCACCGAATACCTGAGACGATTCGGAGTGAAGATGAACGAATATCGGGCCTACGAAGGCGATTTACGATCCTGGGTCGTGGAAAGAGGAAGTGCCGTCAACATCAACGACGTGGACGATGTTGACAATGGCTCGGAGGAGTGGGGCTTTTTTGAAGTCAGACTGGGGACTCCCGTGTTCCCTTATTATCGAGCGTCTTTTTTTGACATCGATCGAGTCCTCACACTGATCAAAGACGAGTATACCACTACCATCAACAAATCCTGCGCCATGACCGTTTACGTCGGACACATTGCGGAGGAGCCATACTCGCAATCCTACCAGAGCTGTGGTTTCAGTTTGCCCGCGGTGCAGACATTGTTACAGTTTGCCTGGAAATACGAGGCACAAATCAACGCGATGCATCCCGAGCATCGTATCTGGGGAAACCCTCGCTGCTTGCCCCCAAGCAAAATGCTTGAGTACATGCGGTCAAGAACAATCATGGACTCGATCTGGGCATGCAACGACGTCAATAGCCTTCATAGGCTCTGGGAAGGTGGTCTGAGCGCCGAGCAGATTCGAAATGAAGTAGCTGCTTACAGCATTCGCGGACTGACCCGTACCGCCAGCCCGAACATCCATAACGGGACGATTCGATTCGGTCAACATCAAGCTTCACTCGAGTACGACGTCGTCAAGAACTGGGTGTGGTTTATTGGTAGTCTCGTGCAGGTTTCGGTTGAGCGTGGCCCATGTGGTATTCCGCTTACACTCATGGGGTTGGGTGGCTACGCGAGCCAAGTTACGTTGGACGAGGTTTCGCCGCTTCAGTTTATACAGGAGATCGCGATGAAAGATCAGTACTGGTATTACAAAGAGAATCTTGCGGATGATTATGGTGATGTCTTTTGATTTGCTGGTTTTTACGTCGCTGCTGGATGAGATATATACGGAGCAGCTTCAAACGAGATACCCATGTTGAGTTTGTTTTCTTATTTTTTCAGTTAGCATCAGGTCCAATGAATCTACAATGCTCCCGAGAATTATCAATCCTCTTTGCGTAGGCTGTAACGGAAAAAACTATCTGGAGAACAGTTTAAAAAGGCGGTAGATTCAATTCGAGGTGTTTCTCTTCTCTACCCAGTAATTAACAACATGGCAGAATGGAAGTGGGACAACGATCAAGTACGTCCCTCGCTGACAGCACAGGGCTTTCCCCCATAAGACTAGAATCAAACGGGTATCTTTCCCTCATAAGTGCCGTCAAATCAAAATTGTAAATGCCTTCCACGCCAAACGCATAATGGGTCAAGGAAAAGAGGAAAAGAATTGAACATGTGTAATTGCTTCAATATCTGAAATGGGTTGGCTTTTTTGTTCCTTTGACAAGGGCAAGGATGGGAGTAGAAGTAAGCGATCGTGGGAATGCGCGAGTGATTAAAATATCAACGTCGAGACATGCGTCGTCTTCCATAATTCAGCCCAAACACCCTCATATCCATTCACCGAAATTAAAGGGTTTTCACGTCTACCACTTGGCTTCGGTAGCAGGAGCCTCACCTGCCCAGCCCTCGGCGGGAGCACTAGAAGCCCAATCGCCGCCAGTTGCTTCCCAGGTGGCAGTGGCAGTAGCAGGGTTAGTTGTTGTTGTAGTGGCAGCAGCAGCACCGAAAGCAGTTCCAGCGCTAGCTTCCCAACCTTCAGCACCGAATCCAGACTCGACAGCACCAGGGCCAATTTCGTCGACACCAGCGGCCTTGGCCTCCTCGAGTTCCTTGGCTTCTTCGGCTTCGGGGTCACGGTAGAAGTACAGATCGACAACGACGTCCCATTCGGTTTCACGGGTAGCAAGAGTGCCACGAAGGCGAAGGACCTCACGGGCAAGGAGCCACCAAACTAGACCAATGGCATGGCGACCCTTGTTGTTGGTAGGGATAGCGACATCGACGTATTCGGTTGGCGAGTCGGTGTCGCAGAGAGCAATGACGGGAATGTTGACATAGCTGGCCTCCTTGATGGCCTGAGCATCGGTACGGGGATCGGTGACGATGATCAAGCGGGGTTCCTTGAAGGAGCGGGTGATGTAGTTGGTGAAGCTACCGGGAGTGAAACGACCGGCAATAGCGACCGCGCCAGTGTGAGCGGCGAACTTGAGAACGGCACGCTGACCATAGGGACGAGCGGAGATCACGCAAATATCGGCGGGGTTGTCGATGGCGGCGATGATACGAGCGGCAAGGACGATTTTCTCCCTTCATGCGCAAAGTCAGTAAACCGAGCTCTCTCTATTCCGCAATTGCATAATTTACCAGGTCTTGCCAATGTTGATCACGTTGATACCATCTGGACGAGTCTTCCAGAGGTAAGGGTCCATGTGAACCTGCAAGTTCTTGGAGCCGAGATGGCATTGCGCAGCCAGGAGCATCTCCATGTCCTGAGATGTGGCATTGAAAACCGGAGGAAGGTTAGAGGGGGCCATGATGGGCGACTGATATTTTTGGTGAAGGGAAGGCTGGAAATATCAATCGTTTGGCGGTTGTCGGGATGGAGAGACGACGAAGGTGCAGCTGGTTGACGTTTCGCGAGACAAATTCTTTTTCGTTAATTCGATGCGATTTGTGTGGCCCGGGGAGCTCAGAGCGCGCTAGCCCTAGTCTGGCTAGCTCCGGGCGGTTAGGGCAATCGGTAGCATAGTCGGCCCGGAATCAAAGTTACATAATCAGCTGGGACTTTGAGCAAAAGATCAACTGAGATTTTGCTGCAGAGAAGGGGATGCAAAGCAGATAGTCAAGGCCGTCAGAATGCCGCCACGAATTCCGATCCCGTCGTGCTCCAGGTCCCTTAATGGTGGGTACTCTTTCTGATTCCCTGGGCTTGCATTATCTAATTTCAATTGTGTATAGGGCCATTGTGCAGCTGGTTTTCCGGTTTGGCTCTCGGGCCCAGCATCTACTCCAGATCCGCCTCCTCCAAGAAGAAACGGTCAAAGAAACATCACGATCCGTTTGCATTAGCGCTAGCTCGTCAACGGAAGGCTGCCAATGTTTCCCGACAACAAGTGCTTCAAGAAGAACGAGAAGCCGCCCTCGGCGATTCCGTGCGCGGAAAGCCAACTCCCTTTACAGAAGCGCTGTTGAACGGACAGGTTATACCCCGTATCACACCCGCCGAACCCAGCGAGAATACATCACAGTCGCCTGGTCTCAATTATTTTGTCTCAGAGGACGAATTGAATGCCACTCTCGAACGCTCGGAGAAGCTATCTCGACCGGTTGCAGATACCAAAAGTGGGTCTTTCGATCCGCAAAAGCTTGAAGATGAGACGCAGAAACACTTGGACAAGCACAAAACCGCCCAGGAGGCTGTTAAGCGTATCATGGATTTGAGCAATGCTAGCAGCAAAGAACGCAAGCTCGTAAACATCCAGCGTTGTATCGAAACATTTGGGCGTCATAACACAGATACCGCTCTCGCTCCGAAGCCAACCGGTGCCGCCAATCCCTCAGCTTCCCAACTTCCACTGAGTCAGCCCCCGTGCTGGTCCCGATACAGGCTCGTCGGAAGTTCAGATCGCGATTTTAACTACAAAGATTCTGACCCTGGCAAAGAATCTAGAAAAGACGTCACACAAAGATAAACATAACAAACGAAACCTCAGGTTACTGGTTCATAAGCGACAAAAGTTGCTTAAGTATCTACGCAAGAAGGAGCGCGGTGGCCCACGATGGCAAAATCTGGTGACCTCTCTGGGATTGACCGATGCAACTTGGAAGGGAGAGATCAGTTTATAAATGCAAATTTTGACCGCTTGTACAATATTGTTATTTTTTTTTCCTCTGGGCATTTTTCTCCAGTGGTATTAGAATCATGACTCCATGCACTTCTCGACGGAAGCTAGCCTGCGTTTGACATTTTATCAAAACAGGTAAATAACTAGGATTCGAACTATGGCTATGTATATCCGACAGGTTCTGATCTATTTTATTGGTATTCCTTTCATGCCCAGGGAATCATCGTGAGGCAACTTGGGGCGTAGAGGATGGTTTTAGTTCAAGTTTCAGTGGTAACTACGTGGTTAGGGTTTCGAGGCCAGCCATCTTCGACAAAATTCATACGAAGAATAGCAAAACCGCAAGATCCTGCTCAGGACAATGGCGGATGTATCCTCCGCTGCACTGGCGTACCACGAGCCTGCCATTGTTACAATTCTTATCCAGTCAAGTTTTTTCATCGCGCTGAATCTAATCAACTATGTCCTCGATCGCCTGGTGTACTGTGGCCTGGTCGGCCAAATATTCATCGGTATGGCTTGGGAACTCCGGGAGCGAATGGGTGAATATCGATTTCCAGAAGACTGTGACTTCTATAGGCTATCTTGGACTTATTCTAGTCGTCTATAACGGTTCGAGACACTGATTCCATCCCGTATCCCTTTTTGTACAGGTTGACTGAACGGGTTTCAACAGGAGGACTATCTACATCTCTACAAGCATTGAGGTCGAATATTTTTCTCTCCACTGCCGTCGCGCTGACAGGCATAGCCGTGCCCATGGGCTTGTCCTTTTCTCTTATCCGCCTGGTATCTGCTACACCGTTGCAAGCGTTTGTTGCAGGAGCAGCATTAAGCTCGACCAGCCTTGGAACCACATTTACCATCCTAACAACAAGTGGTCTGACAAAGACCAAGCTGGGAACGGTGCTTACGAGCGCTGCCATGATGGACGATGTTGTGGGCCTTATTTTGATACAGGTCATTTTGAACCTCTCTGGCTCTGGGGCTTCGGTTAGCGCCGTGACGATTGTCCGGCCGCTTGCAGTCTCTCTCGGCTTTCTAGCAGTTCTACTCTTGGGCTGTAGGTTTATTGTCAAACCATTGACACGAATCTTGCTTCAAAGTTGGCAGAAAGATAGCCGCTCGTTCCTGATTATCCAAGCGCACGCCGATCATGTTGCTTTCCTTATCCACACTGCAGTCCTTATTGGACTAACGACAGGAGCAATATTTTCTGGAACTTCAGGGTTATTTGCAGCGTACCTCGCAGGAGTACTAATCAGTTGGTGGGATTCGGAGTTCCTCACTCCCAACCCAAATCCTCCATCGAGAAACGAACAGCAAAATGAAAATCAACCGCAAGTCTCGCAAAAGAATGAAGAATCTCCCTGTGACGTATCGGTTGTATTAACGGAACCTAGAGCCACTGTAAGTCCAACAGAGCAAGGGGCTCCTAACTGCAACGTTCGCAACGAGGGCCTTGATTGCTCTACAGGGATAAAAATCTACGAAAAATACTATTCAGAGGCTGTTGAGAGGGTCCTCAAGCCAATTTTCTTCGTATGCGCCCTACCCTAAGGAATCTATTTCTGCTGACTGCTAGCAATAGGCGTCGATTGGGTTTGCAATCCCAATAACTCGTATGTTTCAAGGCGAAACTGTGTGGCGTGGATTCGTTTATACTGCATTGATGCTCATTGGAAAAGCTGTGACCGGACTATGGCTCGTTCGGTTCAATGTAGGTATACCCAGAAGCGGAATTCTTCAAAACCTCCAACGCGTCTTGCCCGTTCGATGCAATGGCAAGCCGAATGGCCCTAGGGAAACAACCTCGGCAGGAACGGAAAATCAGGCAACGGGTTTGAGTCGTAATAGAAATGTAGAACGACAGAGCCTGACAGCTTCAAAATCGAAATGGTCGAAGCCCCGTTCGCTTTATCCGGCGACGATTGTGGGGATGGCTATGGTTGCTCGCGGAGAAATAGGCATGCTTATTGCTTGCTTGGCTGAGAGCAATGCCACCTTCAGCGAATCCTCTAGTTCTGGCTCCTCCGAAACAAACGATGTATCGCAATCCTTCCTTATTGTCACCTGGGCGATCCTGCTGTGTACGATCATCGGTCCTATATTTGTTGGGACATTGGTTCGCAGGCTAAATAGACTACAAAAGCGGCGGGAAGACGGTGGCCCTGACCCTCTAGGGCAATGGGGCTTGCTGTAGTTTGCGGATTTCGCGGCGACAGCAATATTTCGAGAATTTTGATTCCCGGGCAAGCGTCGATTGATAGATAACCGCAATAGAAAAAGCCGCCAAGGTGGTGGATTGGGCCTACCACGGCCATCCCATCACAACTCCCATGTACTAGAGCACTGAACAAAGACTGTGCGAATTGAAGGGGTTCATTGGCGCTTTGGGCTTAATGCAGCCTGACAGTCGGCGATGCCTGTCATATCCAACTCTAGATGCCAAATTGATTGGTGTTTATAGAGAGGGTTTAAAATGGATGAATTTTTAACGATTGTATGTATGAAGAAGATAGTGTTTCTCACTCAACCAAAGTCATATCACATCATGACTTCCTCTTGTTGCATTGAGACTGAGAGCCAATCACTACTTCTCTGTTTATCTTGTCCCAAGTGACAGAGCTTCAGAACTTTTATCTAAGTCACGATATATGGCAGGAGTTTTCCAAGTAGCGGGTAATTCTAATATCATTAGGGCATAGGGATTAGCTAGCTACTTATTGCAGGTAGGTTCTGGCAACCATTCCCAGGTCCATTCTAGTGACTCTTTAGAGAAAGGTGAATATTAGCAATGCAACACAGATTTGCATTTCACTAGAGAATCTACTGTCTTCAAAGGTATTAATGCACAGATGTTCATATCAATTAGTTTCCCCAATCATGATCATCAGGCAAATAAAACCCATGGTGCTATGCATCAAAGGCATTTGGCTTGATTGGGTGGAACCATGTTGTTGGGCTGACTTTTTCATAGTTATGCCTGAAAAACTATTAGACTTATTTGATGCATATTTATTCAAAGCCTCAGCAAGTCCAGAGGCAAATAGATTCTCATATGAGTGTGCAGTTGTTTAAAAATCTTCAATGTCAATAAACCAGCTTTGTCCCACCTGTCGTGCATGCGGTTACCCGCTTTGGTGGATCCCAGCCCAGTTTTGGGATGATGTCGAGTTAAGCTTATTCTGACTGCACTGCATCGGCCCAGTTCCCAGAATGATGCAGGGGTGAAGTCGTCGATTGTGCACTTGATAATATTGACAAACCTTAGGTGTTGCTATTGTGCTCTCTTGGACTGCAATACAAACATCTTGCCTGGGTTGGTTAATGGCTGTCTGCGAATCTTCTTCATTGTTTCACCCCGCCACCAGAGGGCCCTACAGAGATTTTGCATCTTCCCTCTCCTAGTTATTATTGATTGAACCATTGACTCTGTTGATCGTATGGGTGATCGATATTTGGCAGAGGTGTACGACAATCTTTCAGACGAGGAACTACTCTGGATAATTCGACATTCTTGAGATTGAAATGAAGTTAGTTAACTAGCAAACCGGGTCAATCATAAAGCTCTCCCAGTTACTGTTGAGGAGAACCCGCAGCCTTCAGCCTCAAAATATGGTGAAATCAAGTGATTCAATATTCAATGATCGAATCCGATTACTTTTCGCTTGATGAAAACTGAGATTCGGGCTTTGGGGGACGGAAGGTCCCGTGTGTAACGCCCGTATCCGACCGTGCAGAAGCTGCAAGGACAAGGGTGGAGCTCGTAACTACTATGGCCCCATGAACCTCAGGGATAATGCGAGGACTCGTGATAACTGTCTCTTCCTCAACTTAACTAGTTTAGGTTTGGAGGAAGTAGACGAATAGAATTGTCGCGAATCTTGCAAAAAACCGCATACTTAATCATGGAATGAGAACCTAGATGCCTTTTCTACAGCTATTTTGATACCCGTGCCATTACCAACGGTTTAGCCGGAGCCGTCATTTCGAATATGAATAACACTACCGCAGATTACTAGAGAAGCACTATGGATGCCTCGAAAGCCGAACACCATCCCTGGTTCTATAGTCACACGGAGAAGTACCTCCCAACCTCGAAACCAACGGCGCCTCGAATGATTCAAAGATATCAGCCGATAAAGACTCCTCGGACATTGTATCCTACACACGGTGTCTCGATTATACCATCTTTAGACAATCTTTCGGCGTGCCAAAACTTGTTCGCAAATAGCACCAACTTCGCTTGTAGCAGCACTTGTGATGTCTTTGAAGTTGACGAGGATGGAAGAGGGACCTGGAACTATTGCTTGGGAGACGAGAAGCTAGTGGCGTATTTGAAGGTATGCCACTACATCTATTCCTCATTTTTACCATTGACACGGCTTTCTCAGTCCTTCTCGCTTGGTCAAACCCGAATGCCTTCACAGCACTTGAAACTCAGGGCAATGTAAGTGTGCCACCATGGCTAGACACAAAAAAAAACTGATGTCAAATGCTGACGCCCCAGATTTTGCACCCTTCGTCGATACCCAGGGACCAGCTTTGGATACCAGGTATCTTTGACAAGCCCCACTGCAGAAGAATTGCTCACAGGACTCCGTGCTTCTCCTCATTTTTTTTCGCTTATGCTGGGAGAGCCTGATTACTGGGCCCCTCTATACATTCCCACCAGGAGTGACAATGGGGTGAGCCGGGCAGGTGCGTATCCGTGCGAATCGCTATGCCTTCCGCATAAACGGCAGCTGATCACCACGAACCTCCTTTAGAAGCCATGTGGCAGCATCCTCGCTATAATATCCATACTAGGCAGCAGCCGTGCTCAGTCTACATGGGGTACGACTTTTCCGAGGCATGTACTACCTATATTATCGTAAGTGGTGAAAACGAAGGATACGTGGAAAGGACAAAGGGTAGACTTAGCGACTACTTCCACCCAGAGGGAGGGCTGTCTGCTACTGCTACTGAACAGATCAACGACCCGTTTCTCCTACAAAGTATCCTCTGCCACGAATCCCTAACAGATGGGAAGGAGAACATGAGAAAACTCCGCCACCGACTCTATGATCAGCTTGACATTGTTGGCGAATACGCGAAGGAGCCGTTCGACAAGAGTAACCTTAAGGAAATGACAAACCAGCTACACCTAATATCTCAGGACGTAGACTCCGTTCTCGCAAGCACGGAGATGGCCGGCATGATATCCCGTCACATGGCGCATGTCCGCCAGAGAATGTTGGACATATCGCCAAATACATTTCGGAAAAGCAACATTGGCGAAGCCCTGGTGTATCTTGTAGATTCCATTGACGCCCAGAAGCGTTGGCTGCACAGCTTGAAATCTAGAAAGGACATTGCGATGAACCTTGTTTTCAACCTGGTGACGCAGCAGGACAGTGAGACCAGTACCAGCATTGCCCGCGACACCAAGGATGATAGTGCATCGATGAAAATCATTGCGGTAATGACGATGCTCTTCCTGCCCACAACAGCGGTTTCTGGGTTTTTCAGTATGTCTTTCTTCACAAGCCCTGATCCTCTGCAGGCATCGACGACCATTTGGCTCTTTGCAGCAGTTACGTTTCCACTGACCGTTCTTATCATTTTGGTATGGTGGATATGGTATCCTCTAGGGTTTGCACTTCGAAAAATATGGCTATATATGGCACTCAGATACCGTAATCTTAGATTTCGCACAGATGCTGTGAAGGACGAAGAGAAAGCGATGTAGTTAGTTGAAATTGATAGCCCCATGAAGGCCTACAGGGCAGCAAGTGCAGTGTCTGAATGGTGTTCGACAGGACTTGACAGCAGACAAAGACTGGTGTTTTCTCTCTAAGCAAGGGTGGCACGGTGATGCCTCAGTGCTCCTTCTCTCTCATTGCTGTGTTGTTGGTCCCTTCCTATTTGGGATGGTAAATAAAACCGCTAATACCAGATCAAACCGTAATTATTGTTTTATTACATCAACGGCGCTTAACTTGGACACCGCTCTTTTTCTGCCGGGTATCAACTCGACATTTTTCCCAAATCGGGGAGGAACGAAGCGCATAGCAACCACGGCAACTTCCCTCTGTTGCTATCAACAACAGCGCAACCAAGGCAACACCAGTGAGATCAATGTTTTGGTCGCAGCTGCCGTCAACAAGCAAGTTGATCTGGTGTCAGTGAGTGTCAACATAAATTCCCCTCCCTCACCCACCTTTCTCCCTCCCTCTCTTCTTCTCCCACACCATACAACCATCGTCGGCTGCGCATGTTTCATCGGCTCTTACGTTGTCTATCAACTTCAAACTGCTTTCTGCTGCTCAAGCTACTGTTGACAAAGTGATATCTGACTCTTCTCTGAAGATCTCTTGTTGGTGTGTGAACTGTGTTGTCATCTGGTACTTGCCTGCCCCTCCTCCCTCGACACAAGCATCAGCTAACACAGGTGTTGACTCAAAGCCTGCTCAAGTTCTCTTTTACATCACTCTATCTACTTTTGGCTCTTCTTGCCTATTGCTCAAGTGTGTTGTGCTCGCTCAGGTGTAACTGCACCAACGTAAGTCGGTCACTCTGTGTTTACACTGTGTTGTGTGCTGACCTAGGTATTTATCTGCAGCAAGTAGCACACTTAAGATCGCTATCAAGCATCTTTTCTATAATTACAAGGCCTTTGGGCTGTAATTTAGTTTTTTTAAATCCAAACGACCCGAGATTCGGTTATCATCCTATCGCGATGGCTCGAACTAGATCTCAACCAATTTCTCCCGGTGGCTTCAAGTCCCTTGAGGACCTGCCTCGCAAACGCAGAACGACTAGATCTACCGCCAATACTGCGGAAACTGCGAATGAGATCACTGTTGCTTCTGCCAGCAGAGACAATCAGACAACCCGGGTCACCAAAACGACTTCTCGCTCCGCTAATAAACGCGGGTCCAAGAAAACGACTCGGTCAAAGGCGAAAAAGAACGAATCGGTTATCGATGCCGAAATTCCCGTTAACGAGCCAAGCTCTAGTATCGCAGCCGAGCAATCTACTACTCCAGCTAAAAGTGAGCATAACATTTCTTCTTCTCCAGTTGTTAACGTTTCGTCTTCGCAAAAGACCGGACCGGTTTCGCCAGCGAATCATTCTGGTGCAACAACCCTTGAACATTTCGATAATCGTTTGGATAATCCTCCGCATGACGGAATTTTTGGCGTCCCAAGTGGAACTATTGTCTCGCCACCCGGGGAACGTTCGGTTGCTCCTGCAGCTGATATTTTGAATAATCGACCTCAACTCCTTCCGTTTAATGGTCGTGATACCAATTTCAACTTGAGTCCAAAGTTCTCTCAAGTCAATTTTCCTCCTTTGACCAGCAAAGTTTACGAGTTCCTTAAACCTGCTGATCGTGTTTTTCCTTCTTCTCCTTCTGTCATCCAAACAAGTCCTGAACCGGACCCATCGCTCCAATTGACCTTCGAACTTCAACAGCATGTTGTGGCTTCTAGTTCTGTCGATTCGACTACTCATTCCCCTATTCCCGTCGAGAAGAAGAGAGTGCCATTGCAGCCTACTTCGGGAAATGGGCAATCAATTCGTCGGGAGTCGGGGAAATCACCTCAGTTTTCTCCAAAGTCTTCACTAGTTACTGATCATACACCTGGATCGAAACGTCCTCGAGCCATTGATCAGCCGACTCCGGTTGTTGTTACTACTGAAAGACCACCTCAACCCATCCCTCAGTCAGCCCGCACCGTTGTCACTTCTAAAGGATCTCCTCACCGCGTCCGTGAGCCAAGTCCGGTTGCCATTGTTACTGAAAGGCCAGCTCAACCTGCCCCTCAGTCAACCTGCGTCGTTGCCACTACCGAACGATTTGCTCAACCCGTCCGTGAGCTAAGCCTGGTCGTTAATACCGTTCAAAGGCCATCTCAGCCCATTACTCAGCCACCACGCGTTGTTATCCCTGCTGAGCGGTCATCTCAACCTATTCGTCGACAGATGCCGTTTATTCCAAGGCCACCTCCTTATATCCCACGCAGTTCTGAAGGTCCTCCCAGACCAGATGCCCCAAACCCCCTTTTGCGTTACGCTCTTCTTGCATGTGCTTCAGTGTATCCCTCCCCTTTCGCAAGTTCCATCCAACATGAACCTGCACCGCAATCCTTTTCGCCCAGTTTAAATAGTGACAGAATTCAGGCAGCAGACATCAATGCTTCGCCGTCTGTTTCATTTTCAAATTCAGCTGTTCCTTCTCCCGCCCAGGAAGTCGCGAATGCTCCTGCCGCATATCGCACAAACTCAGCTGCTTCTGCCGGATCTGCGTCAAACTCAGCCGTATCTGAGCATCAGGAGCCCACAAAGGCTACGGTCGCCACTGGAATACAAACCACAAGTATTCCTGCTCCTTCAAATTCATTTTGCAGCCCAATGGAACTTGATAGCCCGCCAAGACAATCCATGGCTACTCAAACGTCCCCAGTTAGGGAAACCGGTCCAACTTGTCCTTGTTGTTCTGCTATTTTACGTTGCCCTAATGGTCATATTGTTTGGTCTCAAGCTGAAAGTATTCAGCCTATGCGAAATCTGCCGCTAACTCGACCAACTCCAGTCACTCCGACCGATCGCAAAAGACCGAGAACCGAAGATCCATCCGAAGGAGATATAGATCTGCCTTCTGCTAAACGTCGTGACATCCGAGCTATCACTCTTGCTCAGCATAAAAATCGTCAAGCCGTTCCTTACGGCCAACGCCGCTCTCAAAAGCTAGCTCAGAAGAAGACACCATTGTTTCTCTTTCGCCAACTGGCTGACGAAGACCAATCGCCGCAATCGCCGGAATCACCAGAACCACCACATCCTGTGATTAAAATCCTCCGGCATCCGTCAAGTATCGCTAAGAGCAATAAGGCTGGCTCATCAACCGATACGTCGCAAACTCCATCAACCCCTTCAAGACCTTGGGGTATTCGAGGCCTGCTCAGTTCTGTCCCACGCTCGATTAATAAACTTTTAAGGACATCTTTTGGAGAACCAGCTGGAGTCACAGACTCGACGATTCCGGTTACTACCCCATCTGCTGAACCCACCCAGTCTACTCCTATCTTGGCGACATCAGAGCCCGAAGTCGAGCATGAAGTCGAGCCTGCCGTTTCGAGCATTGTTTCCATTGATCCTGACACCCTCCCCACCGAACCGTCAAAAGTTAGTGACGAGCAACCCGAAGCAAGCCCCCCTGAACCGAAAAACACGCCTAGCGAGCTGACGTATTCTCTCTTCCCCAAACCACTTGATCGCTCCTTGTTTTTCGGTCTCAAAAAGGATGGCGTAACGTCCAGTGAAAACTCCCAAAATTCCGATTCTCTTGCGGCCGCCGAAATCGTTGATAAAGTCAAAGCAACTCCAGTTTCCAAGCCCAAAAAGAGAAAGCGGTCTCCTTCACCAGACGTCATCCCAAACCCCCCGGGTGTAAGCTATGGCATGGATATGCGATATTTCGGCTATAGCTCAGAAAGTGAAGAAGAGGAAGAGGAACTTCCTCGACCCAAGTCCCCCAAGCTGCAACCACTCTCCGCCAAAGGTATACTCCGAGAACGGAAGCGTGTCCGATTTGACGTGAGCCCCCAAGACACTCCGTCGAAGCTTCGGCTTCAACAGAGTTGGGCCACTGCCGGGCCATCGACACCTTCCCGCGTGGCAAGTACTCGGAGCAACCTGGCAAACGAGGTTGGATTCGCGGAACAGACCGTTCCCTCGTCTGGCATCAAGCCAACGAGCATAGGTTCCGCAAATATTCCTTCCTCCCCGGAGAGCCCTCGCGCGCCCTCCCCTCCTATCACCAACGTCACTGGGACGTACAAGTTGGACTACGACTTGTACTTCAGTGACGAGGATGACGAGGGAGAGGGCGCACCTTCCCCAAAGGTAGAAGTGTCGTCAGACACTTCTGTGCTTCGTTGGCCAGTGGCCAACCCCTTCACCCCCGTTTCTAGCGGGGGGGTTCGGGGAGTCACGGGCGGGAAGTTTGGTCGTGAATTCGGCCAGTTGCGGGGTGGACTCGTCGTCTAACGGCGAGTTGGTTCAGCTTGGGGGCGTACCTCTTCTTCGTTTCCCTTTTGTTGTTGTGCTGGGCTCCCGTCATCGTTGATGTATTATTATTATTTTTCACATCCTGTGCCCTGACGACTCTGCAGTATGCCCGCCGTTTTGGCTTGGTGCGTATGTAGTTTCGCCCTCTCCAGGTTTCTGGAGTTGACAGGGGATTTGGTCTGTATATAGTTTTGACCCTGGTTTTCCTCAGGTAGACGCCCTCCTTCGGGATTGGGCGTCGCCGTGGATAACCTCCTCTGGGCTGGATTAGCCTCCCAGGGTGGCATGGGTCCTTTCTTTTCTCAATTTTGTAGACGGGAGCCCAGCACATAGGTAGAAAACGGCAATGCCGATAAATTGAATTTTTATAAGAACTGCTTTTCCTATCTTCTCTTGTAGCCAACGCATTGTCTCAAGTAAGGGATTCTCCTGCTTTGTTGACTCGTAGAGGCTTAATTGCATGTGGGTGATTCGATTTCTACTTGCACAATATTCATAAACTGCGGCTGTTTCAACTCACAAACAATACAACATAGGATCCTTCAAGAAGGTAATTCCACAACAATCTTTGGTCGATATCTCCAAAGGGAAATGAGCCCTAAACTATTACCATTACAGGATGATGCCCGCGCGATAAACTTTGGCTATTTTCTGAGATATATGTAAAAGAGGTACTGTGCCTCCAATTTGTTGAGCGATGAATCTCGAAACGAATTGTCCGTGGCTATCTAGTTATGTATGCCTGCGTAGCATAAAGTCTATAACGACTCAACATGACAGAGTGCAGAAACTGCGGCGGCTCTGAGCGATATAAGGGGTTCATAACTGGATTATATTTCTCGAAACCAACCTGCACCGCATCTCCACAGGGACGCGGTAATCAAGTACCGTAAATATATAATACATACATTCAATCGAATCCTTCAAACTCGGACTCGTCTCCGAGTTCCATTTCCCTGGGCTTAGAGACGTCGTTGGAGGCATCCGTCTCCCCTTTGACCTTTTGTTGGTTTACTCTGCGGAGTTTTTCAAGCATTTGTTGCGTCTCCCGCACGCTGGCTTTTTGTTCGTCTGTCATTTTCTCCCAATGCTCTCTTTCTTTCTTTGCGCGTTTGGATTCGCGCCGTTTTTCTTTTTCGGATTTCTTCTCGTGGGTTTTGCTCCACGGCAATGGGTCGTTTGAAGCGGATGATGGGGCAGGCCGTTTAAGAGGATTGTCAGCCGCCGTCTTGGTTGTGGGGTTTAAAGATTCTTGACGGTGTTTTTCTCGTTGTTTGTCTTTGTATGAATACTTGTCCCAGTCGAGATTTACCCCGAGGCTTCGATCCCCAGTGAATTTCTGTAGCTCGGGCATTTTTGGGAGCTTGAGTAAGCCCCAGGCACAACCCGCTTCTTCCCAGTCTATGTCTGTGACGCGAAAGATACTGCGAGCTTGGTGCTTGGTGTAACTGCGTACCCAGCTAACAAAGGCCCTTTGGGCCTTATCGTGTAGCGCACGGTCATGTAGGACGATTTGACGGATTTTGTTGGAGGTTTCCATGACAATGGAGTCAGAGAATGATATAGGAGGAGATTCAAGAGGGGATACTGGGGTCTTGCGAACTTCGAGAAAGGGGATGTAGTCCTCTTCTCGCCCGGGGCAGATCATAATGACACTTAACCCACGGCGCCCTGCACGTCCCGCACGACCACATCGGTGAAGGTAAGCTTTGGGATCTGTGGGAGGGTCGATTTGGATGACCAAGTCGACGAGTGGGATATCTAGCCCTCGCGCAGCAACGTCCGTGGTTAGTAAAACTGACGGGGATATTGAATTAGCGAAGCGGGTAAAGTTCTTTTGTCGAACATTTGGAGGATGTTTTCCATGAAGGGGTATCGTGACGAATGTTTCGGGTAGTAAAGATGGCATTATATGGCTCCAGTAGTCGACAGCCGCACATGTGGAGAAATAGAGAATAGTTTTCTGGGGAGTAGATTCTATTGACGATAGAATCTGATTGACTGCTGGCAGCTTTTGAGACGCACGTGTGAGAAGATATGTCATTTGCAGGCTATTTAGAATGTTAGTCTTTGTCGACTCAATAAGGGCTCAGTCAATACCTGGCTGGGGTACGCTTGTCATCTGTTCCAGATGCCCCTTTCACTTTAACCGCAATCTTCACAGGATTCCGCAATCCTACCCGGATGATCTGATCTACCGCGTCACTCACGGTAGCACTGAATAAGCCAGTCCGTCTCTGTTTGGGCAATCGGGCGAGAATCTTCTGTAGGTCATCTTTGAATCCTAAATCTAGGAGCCTGTCTGCTTCATCAAGAACAAGAACTTCGAACGAGGTTTGGGGGCAATGGACATGGGGTGATTTGAGGAGCTCTAATAATCGGCCGGGCGTGGAGACGAGCAGGTTCGGGGAATGTTTCAAAAAGGCACTTAGGTCCTGTGCCGGAGTTGTGGTTCCCCCCAGGAGTAGCTGAGGGACTACTTTCAAGGTGGATGATGACTTTGGTATAGGCAGGTTGGTACTGTCTTCGGTGCCGTCGGGGTTCGCGGGCTGTATCGCGGCGGCTGATGGGGGGTGGAATGCTAGAAGCGAAAGTAGGACTTTGTATATTTGCTCAGCTAGTTCTCTACACAGCACATTAGCCGATTAAACGGTGGCAGTAAGTCCAATGCGATTTCGAAGCTACCCACCGTGTTGGGGAGACAATGATAGCTCCAACATGGTGCTTCTTGATCGGAGCTTCCAATCTCAACAGTTTCTCGACAATGGGAATCAAGAATGCCATAGTCTTCCCGCTGCCTGTTACAGCTTCCACGACCACATCTTTATGGCCCATAAACAGCGGAATGGTAGATGCTTGGACGGGAGTCATGCGACTGAACCCTTGAGAAGCGACCGCATCCAGGATCCATTCCGAGAGGGGCGGCGTGAGAGCTTCCCAGGCACGGGAATGGGGCGATTTCGGCTTCGACGCCATCCCGAATGACGAGCACAACCGCACTATATCTTCCAAGTCCGTCGACAGGCCGTCTGTTCACCTTCACAAGTCCTGGAACCCAGCTCGCCGTCTCGTCGTCGCCGCCGCCCTATATTTTATTTTAGGCGAAAACTCGAGCCTTGGCACTGCTTGGCAGGGCTGGTCACGTGAAGCATAGTTCTGCCAGGGAATACCGCCATATTACTAAGCAAATTTGCATGTGATTGTGCTGTAATACAAGACTAGCCGTAAACTATTCGCCGTTATAATTGGAGGAAAATTTTGATGATTGGAAGCCTATTGGCTAAAACTGCACGCAGCCTGGAGCGGATACCGCAAAAGATACCGCAGCCATCGCATCTTGAAAATCCATCCTTTTTGACGCCGTCGAGGCGTCGCGCAAACATGCCCTGCGGCTGCTAGCAGAACAGGCATCGGCTCAGCAATCAGCTCTCCTCGCTGTGCCTCTTGGGTGTGTTGCTCCTCGAGAACTACGCAGCACCTCATATCTGCCAAACATGCGCCCGTGCCTTCCCTGCTCTGGCTCCCAGCTCCTTTAAAAAATTTGACAAAGCCCCCGATCGTGTCTCTCTTTGATAACTGCACAGGACGCTCCCTATTGTCCGTTTGCAGACGCTGCTATTTGAAATCTTCGCTGAGCCTGTGCTTCACAGTCATACTTCAGATCCTACAGCGTCCCTTGCCATGCCTGCCCAAAATGGGGTGCCCGCAACCCCTCGCGTGATATCTCCCTCGCCGACGCCCTCGGAGCGGTCGGAATCCAAAGACGGCTATCGAGGTCCTACTACACGTTCTGCATCTTCCAGAAGGCAGCTCTCGTCCCCTCCGCCCATTTCAGAAGAAGAAAGAGAGCAAGTCCACGAATCCGGCTCAGATTCAGGCATCGAAAAGCGTGCTCGAACTCGATCTCGGAGCCCAATCATAACATCGCCCGGGAAGACTCGGCGCCGGCTATCAGGCTTGACTTCTATAAATGAATCAAAGCTGGAACCTGTGAAAAATGGCTTCCTCGCCCCGAGCGGCCATCTCTCACCTTACTCGAAAGCAAAGGATCCGTTCCGCGACCTTTCTCGATCGCCTTCACCTCTCGGCCTAATTCCCCTCCATAGACATTACAGAAATTTCATCCATCGACACGAGATTCCTCGCAAGCTTCTCCATGTCTCGATCGGCTTCGTGACTATTGACCTCTACCGTCGTGGCGTGCAGCCCCTCCAAATCACCCCTTGGCTTCTGACGGCGCTCATCCCCATCGCTGCTACAGACTTTTTGCGACACCGTTTCCAATCTGTGAATAAATTTTACATTCGTTGTCTGGGTGCGTTGATGCGGGAAACTGAGGTTTCGGGCTATAATGGCGTGATCTGGTACCTCCTTGGTGCCTTCATCGTTTTGCGGTTTTTCCCAAAAGATGTTGGTGTCATGGGCGTACTTCTCCTGAGTTGGTGCGATACCGCTGCATCTACCTTTGGCCGACTGTATGGTCGCTATACTCCTCGAATCCGTAGAGGAAAAAGTGTAGCCGGTACTCTAGCCGCATGTGCTGTTGGGGTGCTTACCGCTGCGGCATTCTGGGGCTATCTCGTTCCTACCATTGGCTATTTCGCTAATGATCCTGACAATTCATTCATGTTCTCCGGAACATTAAATCTTATCCCGGACTCGGTCAAAGGCGCTCTTGAGTGGGTTGGAGTTTCCCGGGCGGTGACAGATAAGGCTGTTATATCCGGCCCGCTTGCCCTAGGTGTGATGAGCTTGTGGACCGGCGTTGTCGCTGCCGGTAGCGAACTCATTGATATGTTCGGCTGGGATGATAATTTGACTATTCCTGTGTTAAGCGGTGTTGGAATGTGGGGTTTCTTGAAAGTCTTCGGCTCTTAGATCCATGATTTCTCTCCTTACTTTCCTTTTCGGTCATCTCCCTTATGCATGCATTGAATTTTTGCCATTCTTCTTTATTCACCTGGCATTATCCCCGGTTAAATTGACGATACACTCTTGATGACCCCTTTTCCATGCCTCTCCCAATATCCCCCTTTCGACAAGGACGTTTTTCCCTTTACTCCTTTCGCGTTTCGGTCCACCGCCTTTGCCTGACGTTGACTGTTCAAGGTCTAGATTCCTAGCATACCCCTCTATGTACAGTAAATAGCTGGCTTTTTTCACAAGTGACTTCCCCAAACTCCTCAAGTCCTCGCTATGCCCTTGGTAACGCTCTTCTCTATCGCAAAGCAGCCTCAGGTAGACATGGTTATAATAATACCAAAATTCAAATCTTTATCATTACCTGCCTACGGAACTTTTTAGCTTCGAGTAGGCTCGTCTTTGAAAAGTCAACGAGCCTCTGGGGTTTACTACATCAGAGATATCGTGCGCAAGTGACGCACAGCCATGCTTTTGTTACACTATAGCAGCCCGGTATAAACTTGGATATTCAACTATTTGGAGAGAAGTAAATAACATGAAGATTTAATTGTCAGGCTCAATGTCTCTGTAAAATGGTTGCGCAGTGCTGCCCCTGGTTTCTCGTGATTTCTCAAAATATCGTGCGACAAGGATGTATAAGCCAGTAATGAATTATATCCAGAAGAAAAGGTGTAGACCAAACAAAACCACTCCAGTTAGCATACTGGCAGCAAGCCGGTGATAATCAAGAGCCAATAGAGAGCAAGGTGCCCAAAAGGACGTCGTATCTCAAAAGGAAAGCCCAATGCGCTATCAAACCTTCAAAAAAGGGGGAAACGGCTTGAGCCAAATCCCATCAAGTTAAATCTATTATGCTAATCCGTTTAGATCGTTTCCCTTTCTTGGTCGACCTGGGTTGCTTTGTTGTATTACAGGTCACGTCCGTTGATGAACCATTCCTGCTGAAAATATCGGGTGTATGTGTAAGGCCACTTTGAGTTTTGCCGTCCATCAGATCACCGTGGTTAGGTTGTTTACTAGATATTTCGGTCTTGGTGGAGTCTGGTGATTTGCAATCCTCGAGTAGTTGGTCAAGGAATGAGACAGCTTGCTCGCACAAAGATTTTGAGGAGATCTGTGACGACTTCTCTGGGGTTATATGTTCTCCTCCATCTGCTAAGACATTCGCTGTCCGCAGGCGAGGCTTCGTGCGCGATGGAGTCTGATCGGACGTCAAGGCCGCAGGCTTGCGGCTCTTGAATTTTGGTTTTGGGGCTTTTGCTTCACCTTTAGTCTGGCACGGTTTCAGACCCTTTTCACCCCGGTCTGAGTCCTCGTCAGAGGAAGAGATCGTGATGTATCGTGAACCTGCCTCTACTCGATCCATGATTCTGGAAACGGAGTCAGAGTAATTAGAATGGTTTCGTTGTTTTGAGGACGGCAATCTACCTTCGTCACTGTGTCCAAGAGCCATCGCTGCTTCGATGTCACTTGAAGTCGGCATATCCATTCCCTTGGGTGATTTTGATACCCCGGGTAAGGACGACGTCCCGCTCTTCGTACTTCGAACGGTGAACGCAGCGCAATCAGCGATTGTTTTTTGTATTTGGTTGCTCGTAGAATCCCGACGGTTTTCACAAGGATTATACCCTCCAGCAGCGGGTTGAGTGGATTTCCGGGAACCACCATGTGTTTTCGTTTGCGTTTTCACAACAGTGCCATATCGATGAAGGGCACCAGGCGCCATCCCAGAATCTACAGCTTTCTTCCCTTTCCTGGAACCCTTTGCCGAGCCCTGCGGTTTAGAAGCGGCCAATTTCTTCTGTTCCTGCTCATCATTCCAATTCTTTAGCGCAGTTGGCATACCCAGTACCACTAGTGCCTCAAAAACCCAAAGGATCTGTTCTTTTGTCGGATCATATGGAGTTCGCTTTGTAGCTGAACTGGGAGGCTCGATCTGATCGTCTTCGGAGTCAGATTCGGCTACGTCGATTGCGGCACTAGATGTAGGACCTAATTCCGATTCTAACTCGATCCCAACAACATCGGCTGGGACAAATTGCAACTTTAACTCGGCCAGGCCGTCCATGTTTATGTTCTCTTTTCTGCCGCGTATTTTGGCCTGAATAGGATTTACAGTAGAGTCACGCAGGGAGCAGCAGAGGAGCGAAGGCGCGATTGTCCGGATAAACCGATATTGGCCAGCAAGGCCATCCCATCCGAGCTTATCACACACAAATTGCTTCAGCGAGGAAACATCGATTTTTTGATTCCATTGAAGGCTTTCTAATTTTTCCACCTCTTTCTCTGTTGAGGTGACGGGAGAGATATAGTCCAATAGGACTCGCAAATCGGGGAAATCTTTGGGAATTTTGACAGCTTTGTGTTTAGATTTGAAATAGCCACTTTCGTTTGTGGAAAGCTCGTAGTCCAATCTCTCTCTCCATTCATTTAGAGGAGCATCCAAGTCCTTAGGGTTACTCTTGATAATGTCTAACAAATCGGCACCGAACCCGGCACGGACAATCTCGGCAGCTAGTTTAGGTCCGCACCTCGGTACGCCTGCAGGCAAGTAGTCGCCACCGCTTAAAAGTGCGAATAATACCATGCCAGCAGTGTCAAAGGTCACATTCGCGTTTGGACTGCTGTGTCGATATACGTTGACGTGTGTAGCTGGACCGGAATTCTTGGGACTTGCTTTTGAAAAGTTCAAGAGCGTAACCTGTGAACCAAACATTAAGGTGTCGATGTCATTGCTTAAGGATGCATCGACTATGCCGGCTATTTGAAGCTTTGCGCACTGCGCCTCGGCCTCCCCCGGTGCGTCATAGAAATTGAACCCGAAAAGCTCGATGAGCCGTTTAAACGAACCGATAATGTGAGACCCGCCATTTCTTGCAATCAGCTTTCCCCGTTTATACTCGGGGCGTTCTGGTCCATCAAAGACGAAGAGTGGCTGAATGGGCAACGCGAGTAGCCGCGCAAGTCGGTAGAACAGGGCTCGGAGCTCAGGATTTAGCCCGCCCTGGGCGGATTGGACCTGAAAGAGCCAAATAGACGCATCGACAGCAATTCGAACTGGTCGTGCCGTTCGTTGAAGATGGTCGATTGCGAATTTCGCTAATGAGATGCGGTCGCCTGAGCCAAGCTCTTGGACAAGTCTGTAGTAGTCAGCATTTGGCATCACGAATTTGTGTCTCATATCAAGCGTAGACTTACCCTGGTATGCCCATTCAAATAACATAGTCTAGCTGGTTAACATACATTGCCTTTTGAATGATCCGTAGATGGTGGTCCGTACCTTGTTGTTTGTTTACTTTGACAATGCGGAGTAAGCAAGCTGACTAAGGCCATTCTGCCAGCACTCACCGCCAACACACAGTAACGCGTTGAGCCTCATCTGCGCGACGACATCACCGCCCGCATGGGTGAAGATGGGATCGAACAGCCCCAGCATCGGTGAAGATCAAGGGATAAATGTGAGTGAGATCTCCCGTTGCAAAGACTTTGGTGAAAGCCCTCTGGAATGCGGTGATTGACATGTTGTTCTGTTAGGACTTATAACTGTCGCGACCCCTAGAGTGATAACAGTCCAGAGCGAAGATTGCTAATTGACCTAGACTATTTTCATTCTAACAGCAGCTTCGATACAGATACTAATACTATGCTAACTGGCTGTAACCTTATACCAACTAACTATATTGATACCTTGATTCGGTCGGATAAGGGGAAGCCGTTTCTCAATTGTCAACCATGACGACCATTTCTTCCCCATCTTCTGGCTTGGATAAACGACCAGCGGCGGCGGACATACGGACAAATCTCCGGTCGTCTCGATCACAGGCCCCAGCGTCTCCCCACACTCCACAGCAGTCTCGCCAGACTTACTCTCTCTACACGGGCTCCTCCTCGCCGGGCTCATCATTTCGTCATGAGGAAGATGCTGTCATCTTAGAAATTGGATCACGTTGGTTGCGGGGGGGCTTTGAAGGCAGCAGCACTCCGACATGCGTGGTAGGGTTCGGCCCAGAAGAAGCAAGACGAGTGGGCGATTATCGGGGATGGATGAGAAATCCGAATCAAGCCGTGCAAAAGGGAAAGATAACGCCTGTCAATGCCGAAAACTGGCTAGAGAAATATGAATTATGGCGCAAGGACATTCGAGGCCTTGATATCGGGCTATTCGAAGACAGACTTGAACGGGCTGTTCGGGAGCTATACAACAAATATCTGCTCACGGACGCTGGCTCCTCGCGCTTGGTTCTCGTTCTTCCGTCAATCGTCCCTCACGCACTATTGTCCTCCCTATTATCCACGATATTCCACCGTTGGAAATACCCTAGCATCACGCTTCTTCCATCTCCTGCTATGGCTGCTGTTGGGGCTGGCGTTAGGTCAGCACTCGTTATAGATATTGGCTGGGAGGAAACAACCGTTACGGCCCTTTATGAATACCGAGAAATCCAATCTAAACGGAGTACTCGTGCAATGAAACTTCTAATGCAGCGCTTTGGCAAGTTTTTAACCCAGATTGTCCGGCACGAGGAGCATTCAACCACGGATAATGATGATACCATAACAGTAAGCGTTGATCTTTGCGAAGATATTCTGGCTCGATTTGCGTGGTGCAGGACTGGGACCGAATCCCAGCGACAGTCAGAGTCTCAGGTCACGGAAGCCTCTGACCGCGCCTCTCTCCTAGACGACGACGACAATGGTGTTTCCCGTGTGGAATCTGGGCAACCAAGTCTAGTCTCTCTACCACTTCCTGTTGGAGATGAGATGTCGTCTATAGACGTATCGTTCCTAAAGCTTTCTGAACCGGTGGAACAAGCATTGTTTGCAGGCCCGGCGGACCAGCGAGATTGGGATGACGACGATACTCCATTGGATATACTTGTTTACAACACGCTGCTTGCACTTTCTCCGGATGTGCGTGGAACCTGTATGTCTAGGATTACATTCACCGGAGGCGGATCGAACATCCCTGGAATACGGCGGAGAATCATAGAGGACGTGGATTCACTAGTCAAAACACGTCAGTGGCGTCCAGCCCGAGGCAAAGTACTTGATAAAGGATTAAAAAATAATAAACCAAATATGGATGAGCAGCACCTGAAAACAGTCGCCGGCGAGTCTACTGCAGACATCCCTCTCAGAATATCAGATAAAATACCGGATTCAAGTTTCATCGATGAGAGATTTCAGCAAACCGGCAAGGATTCAGAAGCACACATACAAGGCGTTTCTCGACAAGTAGATTCGCTAGGATCATGGGCTGGTGCCAGCCTGGTAACCAGTTTAAAAATAAAAGGCTTAGTTGAAGTTGACCGAGAAAAATTCCTTCAGCACGGACTTTCGGGTGCTAGCCGAGAGTATAATATGAATACGGTAATGGATCGAAGATCAGCCTACGGGCCAGGCATGGCTAGGTCTGGGGGCGACAGATCAAGCTGGACGCTTGGTGAATGGGCATAATCGTATCCTCGAAAACTTCGCGGACGAGCTGTGGCCCTCGTTATCATGCTAGCTTCTTATTATCAATTAACAAGGGGCAACGTTCGGTTAAGAGAAGTTTACATATATTAACCTATATCCCGCAAGCGAGAAGTCAGTCTAACTGAGGACGGATATAAAGGAATTGCTGTTGGACTACCTTGAGGGTATCATCCTGAGATGGCCGAATGGACGATGGTTCTCCGTTCTTGCTATATATGACAACAAAGCTGCCTATAGCTGTCCTCTTCGACGCCATCAACCGGTATGTGGGAGAGATTCAAATGAAAGAATGGGGAGCGGTGCTTGTTGTCGTTGCAAGTCATACTCCTTCAGTGGAAAAAGCGTGTTTTGCCCTTTCTATCATTCACCTCACTTCGGAATTTCCCCTCCACGTCCTCCAAAGCGTAACACTTCGCTAGTTACCGTCAGCGACGCGAAGAAAAAGTTCTCCTCTCTCTTTCAAGTTGTATTCTGAGCATCCAAAGTCCTTTGAGCACCTTGTCTTTCAGAACTCGAACTTCTCCGAAGTAGCCATTTCTTTCTTCTCAAGGTCTATATAAGATTACTTCCCCCCGTTCTTCAATATGCGTCGAATGAGCTCCTTCATGCAGGGACTCCGCAGAATCTCGGGCCCCTATTCTGCAGAGACGACCCCGTCATTCGTCCCTGAACGCGCCTCGAATGCTGGCCGGTTCCGCCCGGCAATGGACAGGGACGGCTCCACGAGTTCGAGAGGAGGAAGCGGCCAACATCGTACGAATGATGTTCTCGCTGCTGCGGAATTGGACGTATCAGCCCTGTCGTCCTCGCCATGCGACACGCTTCCATACGACCATGTCAAGCTCGACGGACTAATGAACTACCACGCCGGCCAACTGGAACGGATTAAGCGGGAAGTCATTGCCCAAAACGAGACCGTCGAGCAACTGACATACACCCTCCACGACCTGCGCGGGCACGGTGACCTCGAGCACACATCTGAGTGCTTGCACGCCAGAATCCAGAGTTTGAGAAACTCTAGAAACCGCCTAGCGAAATTCGTCATGTTCCACCTAAGGGAGCTGGAAAGAATTGACGAAGTGAAGCAAGTTATGAGGGAGGAACAGGGACAGGAGCGTACGGAACCCCGAAGGTAAAGCGATTCTGTTCCCTCTCATCTTTACTCTATCCTTTGGTGACTAACACCAATTTGCCAATATAGATTCAGGGGTATCCCATCGTATCGCGAGTGGAATGTCATGTTTTCACTGTGAAGCTGACGATCCAAACATGAAACCTCCTTTACGGTCCCAACGGCGCGAGGTTTTCATTCAAGGCACCATACCCAAACGACAACCTTTGTACTTTGGTTTTGTGTGGGAGGACAAAGAGAACGTGCAAGGGTCGACGTTCCCCCCCTTGGCGCGTGGCATACGGTACTAATGCCAGAAGTCCTCACCCGGGTTATTCTTTGTGGTTCCTTGGAGTTGGTCCCCGAGTCTAGTGGAGTGCGTTGGGTGGTTTGGCGGAAACATGAATCGCGATGATAACGGTGTATTCGCCCTTACTGATGGATGCGGTAGATTTGTTATTGCTGGTGTCAACCAAGGCATCTGTCTTCCTACGATTAATCTCAAGTTCCTACTATTTGCCTCGCGAGAGATGGTGTGATTAATAGGGAGGCGGAATAGTCCCATCAGAGGATAGCTAGTTGCGAACTGGAAAAGACTAAGAATCAAATCCTGCATGCGAATGACTTCCTGATTTCATCTATAAGATTAAATACCCAGGCTTCAAGCACAATGCCGTCCTTGATAATCCTTTACAATAGCATGGCCTCCAGGGACATCAAGAGAACTTCCACTAATGGTGAACAAGGGAATACAAAGAGCTACTTCCATGGATACAATGCTAACAAACAAAACAGGCCCTCCCTCGCCTGGGCCGGCTGCCATCTATACCGTCCCAAAAACATAGGTCGCCCAGTTAACCGCTGGGGCAGAAGCAGGTCCAAATACTTGATACGGCAACTGACCCCATTGTGGATTATTGATTCCATCAATCCAACCCTCCGGCTCAATGACGAGACACCCATATTGTTGCACTGTATCGACAGGGTGTGTCATATTTCCAGCGTTTTGCTGATTGTTGCGTTGAACCTGCGATGGTTTGACGGGTAGAGTTCCATTTTGGGTGTTGCAGCTGTAAATCTGGACAGCTTTTTGATTGGTGTGAACAACCATGGAGATACCGGTGGTGGTAGAGGTCATGTTAAGAGCCTGGATCATGGTCTCTGGAGACGAAGTCCAGTCTGAACGGTTGGATGGCCGGTCGATGATGAAACATGTGTCATATCCCGTGCAGTTGTTACCGCAGACTGATGCGGAGCGGATATCTTGACCAACCAGTTTCGGAGATGTGAAGTCCAGAGTGCCGTTAAGCGCCGTTTTGACATCCCCTATCTGCCCTGTAGGGATTAAATGCGAGTCTGTCGGGATATACCGACTCGATAGGGGGAGCTGAAGATATGTGTTGTTCAGGATATTCGGCTCCTTGAAAGCATTCAAATTCCAGTAGATATGGTTCGCCAGCATGATGGGTGTCCTCGCTGTTAGGGCAATGGACACAGTCCTCGTCGTGAGTTGAGTTTGAAAGTCTGAGTTGTTCGCACTCCACGAAGAATTGACTGTATAGGTCGCCAGGTTTATCACATCACCCGGGAAGTTTTCAAACCCCCTATCAAAGAGAGCGAAGGTGATGGAATTTGTGGTATAGTCAGTAACGATCCAATTCCGTTGGTCATAGCCGACAACGCCGCCATGCACAGTCTGAGTCTTGTTGAACTCGTTCGAAGGGATGTGATATGTGACGCCATCTAGGACAAAGGTGCTGTTCTTGATTCTGTTCGCATAGCGTCCAACAACAGGTCCAATATAAGCGTTGTTGGAAGCGGCATTCGCAACGTATTGGGCAGGATCATCGAACCCGACTACGATATCCTGCTGCTGGCCGGATCTATCCGGCACAAGCAGGGAGGTCAAGCGGGCACCGTACGGAATAAATGAGGCCGTGATATTGTTTGCTGAGATGGTGAAAACTTCCAAGGATGCCGAGCCGTTGGACGGGGGCTCTGTGGGCACGGGTGCCGGCGCCGGTGAGGTCCCTGTAGGCCCAGGGGCGGGCACGGTTGCATTAGCGCTTGGTGGTGGAGGCTGCGCCGAAACCACCCATGCGAGCCACAACGCCCTTGTCAAAGCCGAACAATGCATTGGGATAAAAGAGACAGATATGGTGAGGGGAAAAGGTCTGCTTCATTTGCTGTGACGAGCTCCTCGTTAAACAGAGAAGTAGGGATTTTATATACCGTCACCACCGAGCTTCACGAGAAATTGGACGACGTCACCACTGGCACCCAGCGGAAGAGGAAAGCTTTAAAGCTCCGATCCCTTGGGTGGTGCATCGTTCGATATCCAATTAAGCATAAAATAAGCATAGCAAAGAGCATGGGACCATGGATGGGCGTGACGCGATGTAACAAGGGAGCAACAGCGGATGTCCAGGTAGGTGTATATAACTCTATCAAACCGCCGCTTTAACAGGTGAGTCAGGTGGTATCAAACGGCATCCATCAGTCTTCAGGTGAGCAGAAAGACTAGAATTAGCATTGAAGTACAGAGTTGAGTATTCTCTAATAACCCAAACACAGTTTCAAAACTATCGGTTCAAACAGATGTGATATTTTTCGTGTAAGATGATGCAAAGTCCTAGATATGTGACTGTGATTCTGGATAAATTGACGGAAGAAGTTGCAGATGCTCTTTGATTTTTATTTTGTCTGAGAACCTGTATATTGACATTTTGCCTTGTGCTCTTTGTAATGAGCGACCTGACATGTCCGCCCGCAATACTTAACTGCTTTGCACCTCCCACATGTCATCAATTGCACAAAGTCCTTTTTGCAATTCGCGCATTGTGCCGCTGCTGATAATGAGCCCTTCTCAATTCCACTTCCACGCTCCACTGCTGCTAGCATATCCTCTGCTCTCTTTCTTGCCAATCTCAGCACCTGCTGTTCGCCCAAGCTAACGTGCGCCGCCGCCCATGCATTCCCACCTGAAGGATAGAGGCCCTCCGCGAGCTGTTCTTCTAGCTTTTCCGGCTGAGTTCCAAAACTATCCAGTATACCGCTGAACGATTCTATTAGAAACTGCAGAGCTTCCACTTCGCTTGAATTGCTGATTTTCTCATATTTAGGATCAGCTTGCTGAAGCGCTACGGCAGCGAGATCCGATTCGTCTGACCGCTGAATACGGAGGTATCGAAGGACATTATTCGGTAGCGGATCGGTGAGAGTGAGGGAGATGGTAGAGGTAGAATCGAGTCCAGCCAATGCCCAGAGCTTACGCTTTTGCTCAAAAAATGGCGCCAGCGGGTGCGTTTCAAGAACGAGATCATAGCTGTCGTTAGGATTACTGGGTATGACGAAGCCGTAGAGACGTAAAAGGCGATTATTCGGAACAGACCCGTAATGGATAAACACCTGAAAGAATACTCCCCAGATAAGCGCACCAATTGATACCGTCAGGAAGCAAGGGGAACATACCTGATCTCCGGCTTCGTAGCCTTTCCCCGCAAGGATAGAGAGGTTTCCGGACAAGGGATCGTAGGCATGACACTGCCTAACCTCGGATGAGTGGTTTAACATATCCGCGAAGGGTGCCAGCAGTCGAACCGATTTTCCATCTGGCAGAGCAAAATCCATCGCGCGACTCCACACGGTGCAAAGAGCCCACTTGTACTAAAAGGACGGAAAGAGGTGTTAGTGGTCGATTCGCAACATACATCACACGCGTGTAGTACATGCATCTTCGATGGTGAATTTGTCGAGGGGAAAAAGTTCTCGATACTGGACAAGTACTCGCACGACTAATGCCCTGTAATCGTCCTCAATGCACCGCCCCAGCTGTTTCGTGATGGCGTATAGTGAAGTTCCAGCGCAAACTTCCAACTCATCCTCCGTAAAAAAAATACTTGAAGAGTAGCTCTTAGGTACCGCCGCTAAATGGCTTCGCAAGCCATCGTATCCTGACTCGCGCGATCGGACAAAGAGAATATACGTAGCCAAGGTGTCGTCAACAGACAAGGGTGGCCGCGCAGAGCGAAGAACTGGTCCAAGAAGAGGGTCAGCATATGCGTGTTCGACTGTCCAGAGAACGTCGCGTGGAATGGTGAGAATCCTTTCTCCTTCGTTGAAACGCCGCAGTGTTCTGACGCCGCGCCCAATGACCGGGAACTCGGCAAGCTCCAGGGCGTCCAAGCCTACCGCTCCAGATTCTTTCAGCCAGCCTTCCATGGTAATCAGATTGGAGAGAGTACGGAGTAAGCGTGAAGAAGCAACAAGGTCCGGCCTCAGCTTTTCACTGTGGGGTTTGGCACCCGAGCCCCACCCCGGTCGGACAACTTCAGGGCGGCATCGCTCACCCGCTAAAACCGGAAAGGCAGCGGGCTGGGTGACCGCAGATATTTGCTTAGTAGGTAGTATTGGGTGTGCACAAATCTTTTAACCTCAGGGGGTTCCAAGCGACGTTGATCCGTGGAAACATAATCGTCATACAGGGTACGTTGCTAGCCATCCACATGTCTAGGATCTAGGAGGTCAGGCGACCCGGACTTGAACAATCCCACAAATTCATAGCTCGGGCCGTTAGGATTGAGGTGTGTGACGCAGGGATACCTTCCGAAAGGGCGGACCAAGCCAGTAATATGTACGCCGTTGCGGCTTGCCTGAGCATTGCGGATATTCAATAATAATGCTGAGATTCGGGAATGACGATGTTCGGCAGGCGTGGGGGGGCTTCGGGCCGATGTGGGTCCGGATTTGCTGCATACACTAGACCGTATATGGTTAGCCGTTAAGCTCCTTGGCATTTGAGGATATACGTTAATCCGTTTTGTGTTATTACATAAGCAAGACAAACATAAACAAAGCGCACGAGCCACCCCTGACGACCTTGAAGCCGGCGCAAGTCGAACGATCAGACAAGAGCGAACCGCTTTGAGACCGTACCTGTTGGATTGCCTGGTCATGCTCGGATGCTGTGCTAGAATTGATGAGTTTTGCGACTAGAACTGGGCCGCGCCCGATGGAGAATATATTCCGGTTGATGCCCGCTACCGTTGACGCCTCCGCCTTGGTCGCAATTCCCTACCGTTGCCTGTTACGATCCCCGCGCTCGAGAAAAGGAAGGATAACGTGTCACGATGGAGGCTCGAAGTCTCAGCTCTTCCCCTGACCCGTTGGGTTACCCCGGCGATCCTGAATTCCTTCTCTCATCCGCCACCAAGCCGTTTTCCCAGCGGAGGATGAGCATGACACCCTTCAAGTCCCGAACCCCGAGAACCCCATGGCTCGCCAAAAGTAAAAATAAAAGCGCGAAGAGCGCAAGATCGATTAAATATCCAGATATAATCTTACCGTCTACTCCATCGGGAGACCGATTCAGTCGGAGATCTCTTTCTCCGACCAAAACGACTCTACACTCGGAGAATAACATCAGTCCCTGGCGCATTCGTGTGACAGTCGAAGCCGAAAGAGACGATGATGAAGAGGGTAATGGTATGACTCAGAATGGTACTACCGGCTGGAAAAACACGAACACCTTGAAAATCCCGCTCAAAGATGAGAACTCGCCATCAAAGAAAACCCCACAAAAAAAACAGCGAAGAGGAGCGAAGTCCGACTTATCAAAGCGTACGCCTACGCCGAGGAGGAAAAGGCCCGCTGGACTTCTTGATGGTGCGTTGGATACCGTCGAAAAACGGAGAAGAGGGAGACCAAGGAAAACTCTAGAATTTCTTGGTGAAAACTCACCCACTCGCCAAAGTTCCCCCGCCAAATCGATCATTGACCTTCCTAGTGGAGGTGATCCGTTTCTGGATATCGCGCAGGACATCGACAACACTATACATCAATCTGAGCAATATGGTGCCTCCTTTTATCAACCCGTCCATGAGCCGATCGCTCCTACGACTCAAGATGCCATTTCACAAGCGCCTATTGATGATACAGGAGTAACAGCGGACCACGAAAATCAATTCGCTGAGCCAGACGCTACTCCGCTTGCGCTAAGAGATGGTGATCTATCTCCCATCAACACAACCTTTGCCGGACATACACCAAGGCCCAGGTTTCGTCTTTATCCGACGCCCACTTCCTCGTCCCAAATTGGAGAAGAGCTTCCGGAGCCCCAAAATATACACGTGGAAGCTAGTGATACAAATGTGGTGCAATTGAAGGGGGCACACACTGCAGGTCCCCCTGTTGAACACAGAGAATTTGATACCATAATGGAAAGTGAGGGATTCAGTATGGTCTCCTTAAATTCCTTACCGTCCGCGAAGCAAAGGCTTCTCAGCTCGCAGCGGGGATCGACTAGCTCCGGTGGTATAACAAATGTTTTTCGTGGCATCTTGGGAAAAAGATTCACAGAAACAGGGATATCTTTGGAAAAAGAAAAGGGCATATCCTTTGCAACAGACTCCCATGCTGCAATTCCTTCTCGCTCCATTAAAGCAAATTCAGGTGATGCTGCGGCAGACAGAGAGGTATCAGAAGAATCGTTTACTAAACCTCAGACTGCTGTTGTCGGTACTACTTTAAATGAACTAGCACCGCTAGCTGTTCCAGTTGCGCAAAAACCGGTTGCTGCTCGAAGGCCACTTGTCAGATTAATGCGTATTATTAGGGTTGGAATATCCTTTCAGAGAATCCTTATCCGCAATCAAAATGCCCTCAATTATAAACTCCCCCTTGACAATATCAATGACGCTCAAAGCGATGATCCAGAGGCTACGAGGCAGCGGCTAGACGAATTGTTTAAACACTTTAATATGGAAACTCGGAGAGAGTTATGTGCGGGTTTCCGCTTTGGAGAGGTATTAGCGCAAAGGATTCGAGAGTTACATCAGGACAAGCAAATAGACGCAACCCAGGGGGATGCCGTATCCGATTCAGACTACGGGGATGTCCAATATCCCGTACTCGACATCGGCGCGGACGGTAGCCAATCTATATCAACAGCGTCTCAGGGCCCGGAACAGGACCAGGAAGATGGCGCTGCAGATCAAGGCGGAGCTATAACCACTGAAGATGGGAATTTGACTGAAAAGCTTAACGTCGAAATAGCTAGACGCGAAGTTGAATGGCAACGCGAAAGGGAAGCTATCAGTCGCCAAATTGAAACGGCTAATGCAAGCCAGGTCATTGTTATTGACAGTGATGACGGCGACGAGTCAGCCGACCAAGCTCCTACGCCCCAGAACAAAGAAATGCTGAGCGACCATGCTAACAGCACTGTTGTTGAAGACGATGATTATGAGGACATTTGGCAGCAAGAGGCCCGGGAAGTCGACCATGATTCAGAATCGGATCTCTTATCGTTTGCTGACGCCACCCACGACGATACAGTTCATCCTCGTAGGGCTGCTGCTTCTACAAAAGAAACTGTGGATGAACGCCAACGCGAAGAGTTTCCTGAACTGTTCTTGTCAGGCCCTCACAAGAAGAATCCAATGTTATCTCTTGGAAAATCTCAGTTAGCGAGATATAAAGATAAAGATTTTGAATTCTCCTCCTTAATTGGGTCACCCTCGAGTTCGACGAGGAAGTTCCTTCAGGGCCGGAAGGGATCTCATGCCGAAAGAAGGTCAGATTCCCGCGTTCCGGCACCGGAGGATGAAGCAATGCAACCATCTCCAGCATCCGCCGCTCCTGAAACCCAAGTCTTAGGCCCTGCGGAGCAGTACAGCGGCGGGCGCTCACTATCGAGCGACTCTATTTCAGATATTCCTCCTCCGCCTTCTCTGAAATACACGGGCAGCGACATTCTGACAAACGAACAAGATGAACCTTCGCCAGCTGGGCATTCCCTTAGACAGTTGGTCCTGCAAAGAGATCGGGACCTGATTTCGCCCGACCTGGGGTATCAGGGGGAAAAGATTGTTGGCCAGAATGCAGAGATTCGTGGGAGTTCAGACATAGAAGCAGTCGATATGGTACCGCCCGAAGCCAGAGATTCTGCCGGCCCTCCAACGTGGTTCAATCGGATTACGAGCCTTGCGCCAAAATGGCTCGCTCCGTCGCGCGCTGCGAATGCAAGACCTCGAAATGGGTCGCCTGCTGCTAAAATTGAACCATCGATTTCTAGTCGACATGTCGTTCAGGAGCAACCAGCCGCCAGTATGCCAACTATCGTGCGACCAGAACCTCCAGTGACAAGCCCAAAAACCAAGCCATTGGCCCTTTCAGGCTACTTTACCAACGACCATTATGCGGCGTTGCGGCGCGTTTACCGCAAGGCAAAAGAGTCTCCGCAATCGTTTCCCTATCACCCGACAGCTGAGCGCGATGCAATGTTAGGCAAATGGATGTGGTCAACGGATGGACATCATCATCGCCAAGTTACTGAAACTCAGTTGGCCATCGTTGAAAAGTTTAGGAGTGACTTGGTTGCGGCAAGCAGGCGGCGCGGTGGCTCCGATGAACTGGGTTGGAGCGAAGAGGATATCTTGTGGAGGCTATTCAGTATAATCGTTGGCGAAAAGCTGAGGAGAGAACGGAAACGGCAACAGTCATGGAGAATAACGCCCGCGGATTAGCAGCTATGGCAGCTCGATGATTGGCGTGATACAAAGCTTCATGCTGTGAGCAGTGTGCCACAACCGGACGTTTGCGGACCAGCGTGACATGCTACACTAAATTTCGAAAGCACTGGTGTTTTGGGCGTTGCTTGATGGTTTCTCTCGGTACTATTCGTACTTGTTGTTGGAGTTTATGATGTTTGGGCTAGGGACTTGTATGACGATTTTGACGACCGGAGACTCTGATGACCCTTTTTTTTTTTACCCAGCACACAGTGCGTATCCTGTTGGCATTTATTTCCCGTACATACCAATTGATATCCCAATTCTGGATCGAATTAATTTCCTTTGTCGTATCTGCTTGGAGCGGCTGTTGAATCTCTGCTTGTATGTATATATGTCCACACTCCTGTTTCTGTGTGAGAAAATATTTATAAATGTCTCTGTGGAAATGTAATAAACAGGGCAGCTTTTCATTTTGCCCGTTCTTGCATTGGCTCTGGACTCCGGGCGGCTCTCTGAACTGATCCGCGGTCAGTCATTATGTCTAGATAGGCAGTTAGTTTTACACCAAAAGGGTGGACGAGCCCAGTCAGAGAGATGTATAATCTCTAATCTCAAACCTGCTGCCTCTGATTCCCCTTGTCGAGGCCCGCTATACCCCTGTCAGTTACCACAGCCATCATGAAATCATCGCTGCAGGGAATTCCAACACACTGCGGCTTCCAGAGGTTATCTGTGGTTACTGGCCACCAAGACGCTTCTTGCTTCCAACTCGCCTGGACTCGTCGCGATTTGCTGAACCAAAGGGACAATCCCCTTGCAGGGCGGAGATTGACCATGGCCCTATGAACAGTGGAGATTCCCGGATTTTTTTTTTTCCTTTTGGTAATAGTTATCCCGTCCAACAAGGCATTGCCATTCAGAACAGGTGTTTTGTTAGCAAGTTCAGCCCTCCCTTGCGTTTTTCCCAAACGAAATGATCCGGGGGTTTTTCTCTGCTGGGACCAACTGCGCCTCCCCTGGCTTCCGCATTTTCGTGAACCCCTGAGACCATGGTGACCCGCTATCATTGGTGGTTTTTCGGCTTATTCCGTGCGTCGACTGGCTTGGTCAGAATCAGATTGGGTGCTGTGCTTCCGATCGCGCTATGAGTTCTTTTTTTTTACGGAGGAAGCTCTTCAAGGGTTCCTGGGGCGGTGAGCCCGCCGGCCAGGGATACCGCGTCCTCCAGGGGCTAATATTAGCTATGTCGTGCTGTGATGATAATCATCGACTGTGTTTGCTGCTGGCCTGAAAATTTAGACCTTTCTACGGGGTTTTGCTGATAGTCAAGCTCCACGCGTTCTTCAATACGGAATAGCTTGACACTAAAAGCGAATAGACTACTGCATATCCTGCAGCTCATTCAAATTTCCAGCGCTGCAAGTGAACGGTCATGAAACTTGTCGGTACCTATTACTTCCAACCGTCGAAGTTGGTGATGTTGGAAACCTTGAAGAATCCTCAGCCACGCGGTAGGTTAGCAACCATTGAGAAGCCACTTGGTCGCTTCGTTGATACTTCACTGGCTGCCGGGTGTTGATCTCTGGAAAATGCGTATGCAGATCGGTCTGTTCATGGCTGAGGTATCAAGAGTCGTTACGGAGCAAAACGACATCACAGACGCGACTTTTACACTGTTTGAAGGCCGACAAGGGCTGACGAACGAACGATTCTAGCCGGAAAATTCAACTATTGGACCGCTCCTCTGTAAAAACGCGGCCAAAGCACTTGTCTTGCGACAGAGCTGAGAAAGCCATTGCAATCTGGACTTGATGCGGCGAAGTGTTGGCAAGAGATGAGGGATATGGTATGTACGGCGTACGTATATGTATGTAGGCCGACCATCGGACCCTTTTGAAACGCTTTCTTTTGTTCTTGAAACAGGAGCCAAACCACAATCTGGTCAACATTGGCTGCTATGTAACTAACTAGCCAGCGGATGTTGTGCAAGGTACGATCCGTTGCAGCGAGGTTGAAGCCAAGAACATAGATCCAGTCAACATTGACAGGATAGTTAAAAATCTGGCTAGATCCCAAGAATCATTCTCAAGAAAGAGAAGCGAAATGATAGTCTAATAATGGCCATCTTAAGAACAGGCTTGTTGAGATCTTGATTGCTGGGAAATCCTCAACTCTCCAATCCAGCGTAGAGTCGCTTATTCCAGCCACAAATTTGAAGACAAAAAGATGCCTGTGCTTGTGTAAGGTACCCTTTAGCCAGGGACAATGCTTCTGTCTTTCAAGGATCTGGGCACCTATGTTCTGGTAAAAGCTCTGACCAGATTCTAGAAGAAGACAGAGTAGCCGCTTGGGAACCCCTGGGAAGAGGACCAAAAGTCTCCGCACTAAGATCTGGAGCAGGACAAACAGGCTCAATGCGAGAAGATTGTCAGTTCATGATGTCGAGCAGAAATTTGATCAAAGAAATGGTCATCCTTGGAGTTGAGAGCGCAGTGTCAGGACTCGAAAGAATGGAGTCAATTCGCAGCAACGACGCGCTCTTTGTTGATCCAGGGATGATTCCCGTATCTAATACGGCGTGGACGACGGAGCATTTGTCGCCAAAAGTCAATAGCTCGTCCGTGATGGAACGCTACCCTTGCAGTGTCCGAGACCGCTGGAGTGGTCAGAGCATCGCCAGGGAGGTTCCCAAAGCAATCCTAGTCTATCCGTATCGAATGCTTGGGAGCCATTTCGACAGGATCCCGCAGGCACCAAGTTAGCAGCTGGCTTTGGGATATCAGGTTGCGTTGGCTGAAATTTGAGCACCAGACACGGAACAATCACAATGGCCTCGCACGTCTTGAGGCCGCGGGCCCGCTGTGACTCGATGCAAGCGATGCCCAACCCAGAAGTCAACTCCAAGGTTGGCGTTGACTAGTGCCAATGCGGTTCGCGGTTCAATCGGAAATTACTGGGCCAGGGATAACGCCATCTTGGGGACGAGATGGCCACAGGAAAAAGGAGTTGCTCGGTGGCTTCCAGCATCGGCTGTCCCAAATCCAACCAGATGCAGCAGACAGACAAGAGTTATGCCAACGCGGATTTGCGCTCTCGTGATGGTCCAACACCCCGATCATAAACCGTTCGCTATTAATATGGCGTGCAACGTCAGCCCTACTCCGCCTTTGAGGACAAGGAAGCCAGGGGATGGCCGAGGATGATCTTAGTAATAATGGACAATCACGGAGCGTGACGCCGTCGACGGCAAGGTCAGAGGCGGGAAACCTCTGCGTTGGATACAAGCGGGCCGTTTATCGTTCTTTCATCACATCAAGCACTCCCTCCGCTTTGTCTGCGAGGCGCGCTTCCCACGAGCAACGCAATGTAACTCGGTCGTGGAACACTGTCCAGAGTGCCGGTTCTCGCTGCACTGCGCTTTCAGCAATCCAAGAAGGTAGTCTGTTTCAGGGCCAAAGGGTTCGACGTTCTCGTCTCAACCGCCCAGCCGCTGCGAGACTGCGAGGCTAATAACTGACTAGCGAAGAGTCTGCCGTCTCTGGTCTGCTCTTACGACTCTCGTGCCCAGGCCCAGCAAGCCTTCCTAACCGACGTTCGAGAAGAGACGAAGAATCGTGGGGAAGATGGAGACACTCGCTCGCAACCAGGATCTCCCTCGTTCCGCTAGTGCGCGATGGCCGGCTGAGATTGGGCAAATGGCGGCCAAGGATCGTTGAGGTTTCATTCTCATCCCTGCTGCATGGTGTGACTGGCCTCCATGTTTAATACCAGTTGGGCTTTGGATCGTATCGTGGGTGGATGATCATGGCGTCTCTCTGTACGCAGACCAAGGATGGCCAGGACGAGCGAGCACTGGGCAACACCGGAGACGAGGGGGGAAAACGTGGTCAGTCGCCATATAATGCCGTCTATCCCTCTCGCCCACGCGACACTCGGTTTGTTCCCAAAAAGCTCTTGGACGCATGGACCAAATCGCTGCACCGCTGACGTGACGCACAGGATTCCCGCGATGCCATCAGGATGCCCGAGATAACGTCCCAATGGTGGCCAAAGGAGAGGGTGGATGCCACCGTCTCGCGTGACTATGTCCTGAAGACCCTCGATCCTGCGTTTCATCCGCGGCTCAATTGGTTTCTCTCCTTTGGCGAGAGCCTGACGGACGATACCTACATCGACTGGATCCTTGAACGGGCCCGGAAGCTGTATCTTGTTTTACTGGAACTCAACCTGCAGAGCCGGATATTCCAGCTGATCGATAGCGGCTACGATGATGAAGACCTCCCCATCACCAGAGAGAACACTGCCAATCTTCGCCTCGCCGCCCCTGTCAAGGATGTCTTCTCGGACTTCAGGTTTGCCGGCGTACAGAGCCGGTTCTTGGTACGATCGATCCCTGAGGGTGAGCATGTGGTCTTCCACGAAGAGGAGCCATTGCCCGTGGACGCCCCCAAGCAGCAGAGACTGCCCATCCCCTTCCCGGAGTCTATTCAGATTGATAGCGTTGTCCACGCTTCTACAGATTGCCGGGAATTACTGCGCTTGAGCATTGCCCTTCCGGAGGAACCGTACTATCGGGATGAAAACGAAATCCTTCGGGAAGTCAAGGCTTTGCGACCACTTGCTCATGAGCACGTTATCTCCGTCTTTGGCTCCTACTCTGTGGGCGACACTGTCAATGTACTGTTGTCTAACGCACCAGAATACACATTCAAATCCTTCCTCGCCGATCGGCCAAGTTCTTTCAAACGCCTACCAAAGAATACACAACAGTCTGTGCTCCTGAATTGGCCCCATTGTCTGGCTAGTGGGCTCGCATGGCTTCATGGTCACAATCAGTGTCACGGTGCCATTCGCCCGTCCAATATCTTCATAGACGCAGACCATCACATTCGCCTAGGATTCTTCGACGTGTTTGACCCGTTGATCCCGCAGAAACAACCAAACGATATCGAATCATATCAGTACGGGGCGCCTGAACCAAGACCCGTCACCGTACCGGTCGCGCAGAACTCCTATGCTTCGAACCCTCCTTCGTCGCGGCCAAATACAGCTAGGAAAGAGGATCATCTCCCTGGTTGGTCTCCGGTAGCGATGTTTTCACGATCTCCGTTATCGAAACGCCAATCGAAACTTCTCTCGGGAG